CTAATTTAAATTCCGCCTAATAATATACACCGGCATTATTTATTTACTTCGGTGTGCGTATACTGTGTTATTATAAGTTGTTTTACAACAAGACACTTGTTGCTCATTTAGTTATCTATGTAAAGGAACGTAATTGACAACCTCCAGCATTTCAAGGATAGTAGAAACAAGTGGTTGTTTTACATTAATGTTAACCCATAGGTGCCCTTATCTGATATACATATAGACGATTGCACGTCAAGCTAATCACGGTGGCCTCTTATGCACCTAGTAATAGAGGCGATTTTGCAACAAAAAACTTATAGTCTGATGCGCTGTCTGTACTTACTGGGTACATAATTATTGTCGCACAGGAAATGTGTCATTTATACTGTTATTATTATTAACTTTTATATCTGAACTTTAAAATTACCAGTGCGCTTACCATGAGTTCTCGTTAGGTGTGCTCGCTAGCGAATACGTCAAAAAAATCTATGAGATTTTATTTCTTGAAAGTAGCCGCTAGAGGCGCTGCACAATATGTCATGCATTTAATGTCATTTTTTTACGGAGTCGCTAGCGAGCACACCAAACGTAAACTCATGGTAAGTACACAGGATAATGACTGATTGTGAGCCAGTTTAGCCGGTTCCTGATTAACTCCCTGACAGCCTATTAGAAAGTTGTCAAATAAACCCCCAATTTTAGTCTCGGATAGAGGTATCTGGCAGTTGAAGTAATCGGTCAGCAACCTTCATTTGTTTATGTCAGACAACTGCCTGGAACTCGGGAACTTAGTGAAACTGACAAGACAACAGTGATTTATAAATAACATGTGTGTATTAATATCATATATTGGAACTTTACAGGTACTAGTGAAACTGACAAAAATACTGAGATTTATAAATACTCGTAGGATGTAAGTGTATTAATATCACATATTGAACAGTCAGTGTAATCTATGCATCCATCATCAAGGGGCGATGACCTTCATCTTGATGCATCGGAACCAGACTGCATGGTACTTTGTGTTGCAAGATCGTATTGGTGTTGTTAAAAATAAACCGTAATTTATCATGACAGAGCTTAGAATAGCTCTGCATGTCATTCAAGTGGCATGACAGCCGGATTAAGGCTTTATAAAAGCATATTTTTGGAGTTATTAGTACTTGAGTAGCTATAATCTACTCTCTTTGTTAACTAAGCGAAAACAACCACCTAAAGATAGATAGATAGATTTATCATTATTGCACATAAAACTGACAAATGAAAGAAATATCAAAATGAAACAGCATATAATTAAACAACAGGCTTATCACTAGGAAGCGATCTCTTTCAGATGACCCATGGAGATGACTGTTGCTTAAGATGCGATGGTGATGATTGAACTTAGTTAGTACTACTTAGGCCCAGTTTTTTGATTCATACTTAAAATAACAATTTGTTAAATTTTGCTACTAATGGTTAAATATTAACAAAATGCTAACTAATAGTTAAAAAATGTACTAATAGTCAAGCTAACCATTGTTCGAAAAATATTTTTTTCTGATATTCAACCACTTGACATTTGACATCTGCCAAATTTGACTATTGGTTATTTTAACTACGAATAAAAAAACCGGGCTTAAGGCCCAGTTTTTTGTTAATATTTAACCATTAGTAGAAAAGGACAATGACCAAAAGTGGTCCAAATGTCCACCATTAATCCATTAATGAGACCTATATTGGCTTATAGTCCATTAAATAGAGATTAACTTTCAGTATGGGACGAAAAAAAAAAGCTGTCAGTAAAAAGTTATAACACTTTAAAAAATTGTAGTAGTTTACGCGCTAATCTCAGGAACTACTGGTCCGACTTGAAAAATTATTTTGTTATGGATAGCCCATTCATCAAGGGTGGTTTTGGGACAAATAACATCACCCTACAACCAATAGGGGCGGAGCAGTAAAGACAAATGTTGTAAAAATGGGAAATATTATTCAGACGATTTCACGCGTACAAAGTCGTAGGCACAGCCAGTATAATATTTAATAAAATTCATCTATAAGCCCGCCCCACATGCGACATGACATAATATGCGTAGATTATGTGCAATGGATAGAATGATATCAAGAACATTTTTCGGATGAAAAGGTAAAAAACAAACTTCTCATTCAGTCATAACTTTTTACTGACAGCATATTTTTGATTGCGGTTTGGTTATAATGAATCAGTATTTAGTAGACTATTTTACTACATAGGTCTCGTTAGTGGTGGACATTTGGACCACACTCCATACATTTTTGGTCATTGTCCTTTAACAATTTTAACCATGAATAAAAAAACTGGGCCTTAATATAATACTCAGTAATAATATTTTAATAACACTAAGGTTGAGTTGTACCACCTTTAACCGTAACTGTAACCATAACCGTAGTTTTTGTATGGAGTTTGATAGACTTTTAAAAAAGTAAAGTATATGGTGCAACCCACCCAGTCTAACTTTTAACTAACACTAAATTAAATTAGCTCGGCTGAATCATCGTGAATAAAACGATTTGTCTAATAGAATTCACTATGTAAATATAATGTAAATACTGGTAATAGATACATCGCAGACACGACACGTTCGACCGGTTGTCAGACTCACGACCGGTATGCGCCCGAATTGCGAGTCAAGTTCACATGTCGTGCGTGAGTACGTCACCTGACATAACGGTTAGGTGCTGCGTAAACGGTGAAACAAGAAACAATTATATTTAACCGACTGCAAAAAGGAGGAGATTCTCAATATAAGTTTTTTGTTGAACTAATCACAGACCTGAATTTATTCTGGCCTGTGTGATATTTTATAATACAGGCTTAATTTTGTAACATACTTAGATTTTAATTTCACTTGCAAGACCTCTCGTTTATCAAACGGCTTCGCAGGTTTGTCTTTAAATGACCTATAAATTTATTATTGTTTTATTAACATTATCGTTTATCGTGAAAAACTATTCTAGATAAATCACCGGCCCCTACTTCGTCTTCGACATTTTGTTTAAAAAAAAAAATGTTATCCTCGATTTGATAAAGTTTCAAGTTATCCCTTTTAATCTGATAAAGTTTCAAGTTATCCGTTTCAAGTTATCTCTTTAAGTGAGTAGAATTTGATTTATGACTCGTAGCGAAGAGCGATTAAATCATAATCATACTATTTATGTTTTGTTGCCTTAAGGTTTTAATTACATTGAAATAAAAAATCCTGGATGTAGGCCGCCACCAACCGGCCATTGTGGAAACATTAGGAGAGGCCTATGTTCAGCAGTCGACGTCCTATGGCTGAAATGACGATGATGATGAAATAAAAAATCACAATTCTACATTAAATTTTAAACTTTTACGGGACTATTCCCACCTCTCGTTCCCACCACTGCAACTCCTGTGTAGCCAGGATCTACAGCTTGACCGCCATAAAAACCCAACCAATTAAGGTCAAGTTTGTCCCGGGGGAAAGTTAAACTGTCATTGTACCCGCAACGAAATTAATCAGAAGAACATACTTAGGAGGAGTTCGAAATTAAGGTTCGACTTCCCTCCATTGCAAAAGTAGCACTATTACACGAACTTATTTGTGTACATCTTTACGCGTATTTAGTGTCTACGCTTGCGGAGAGCTTAAATCAGAGAGAGGCGTGACGGATACCGTAACAACACGTCATGGACATTTAACGTATCGTTTATTGTTTTTGTTTTGACATACAGTATTGATTTGTTAATTTCGTTGCTGATTTTTGTTTTGTTTTATATTATTGGTTGATATCAGGCACTAAATCGGTCTTCCTATAATTACTAAAATTCAAACTGTTAAAATAAACAACTAGAACTTGATCAACAATGTTTTGTAATTTTATAAAAAACAGGAAATCTTCGAAATAGATTTTCAAATGCGTCATTTAAAATAGGAAGTAAATCAGGTTCTATATTAGTTTCCGAATATTTTAATTGTATATTTCCTAAAAGCTATATTATATCATACCTACATTAAAAAATAACAATGTATCGTTCATTTTATTATGTATTACAAAAAAAAGTGTTTAAGTATGTCTAGTACTCATAGTACAAGCTTTGCTTAGTTTAAAAGGCTGTTACATTTATTTATTTATCGGTAGGTGAAATAAAGGCATAAATGTAATTTGTTTTCAGCAAATGCGTTCCTAAAAAGCGCTTTTACACGTAGCAGTATTACTTTATCCTTACCACTGTTTTAGGACAAAAAATAGGCCAGTGCTGTAACAGAAACAATAAATGTTAACGCGAATGAAGCTGGGGTGGATCGCTAGCGTGAAAATAGGACATCTAAAAAGTGTAAATATTACAAATTAAAAGTCTGTTTATTTTCAAGTCCCTGTTTATTTTCAAGTCCCTGTTCATTTTCAAGACATTTATCGAAAACCATTAAATATTTAAGTTGGGTAGAGTTCGTTGTCGTACGTTAATCCCGTGCTAATTAGAAAACTTGTCAATTAATTGGAACTTCATAAATTAATAGAGAACACAAAATAAGTTAGGACTGTTAATTAGACCTTGTCAATTTTTGATCTGACTAAAAATTATACGGTTAAATCGAGATTTAAAGACTAGTAGGTGAGTGTAAATATCGCGTTCCTACTAAACGTTATTATTATGATCATATGAGTACAACGCTTTTTGTTTTGGTTGGTGATACAGCGTTGTAAATGATTAATATAATTTAATTAATAAAAGGTATATTATTTTTAGTAACGGAAGAGGAAGTGTTTTCAGAATGAATTATCGAAATACAAGATGACCCGAATTAAAGATATAAAAAAATATATATATTGAAATCATCGCTCTATCATCTCGAAGAGTACCCAACCTGTTATGCGTGCGTGTTATTCTTTTTAGTAGTATGCAAAATTTCGGATATGACCTTTACTACTCGACATTAAGGTGTATTATATTGTATCGTCACGAGCAGATGCTGTGGCAAGACAAAAGAGGGCTAGTTTGGCCTGTTTTGAAATCGTGACGAGTCATATATAAGTTCTTGAGGCGGGAGCTGGTCATCAGTCAAGAGGAGACCTCGTAGTGGCAGCTTGTTTGCTTGTTAGACGAGATCGAAATCTATTCAACATGTACAAATCGGTACGTCACTTACTTTACTTTATAAGATTTCGGCGTATCGGTTGCAGCATAGCAGCCGAAACGTCAAGCCGTGAATACATAATAATATGTAACTCATATAAAAAATATCTTTTGACCCATGTTTCTCTACTTTCCTTTACTAATTACTATACATCCTCTACTAAATTGTCTAGAAGAGATCGCTTCCTAACGATAAGACCGCCAGAATGGTACTGTTTTTAATTTGTATTTTTTTAATTTATCAGTTTTATGTTCTGTGAAAATTAGTAGTATCTGAGACATTGTAAGCAATGTCGCAGATACTTAAATCAAATCAATTGTTCGAAAGAAATCTCCGACCTTAAATTTAACAACTTAAGTATTATTATTTCCCACTCTGTTTATATTTTGGAAAAATTAAGAGATACCTTAGCGTACCTCTTTCACCTCCAGTTCATTGCCACCGGCGTTATAACTCATTTCAAATTCCTTCATTGCCCTGAATCTTTTATAAATTACTAACTAGAACCTAGACGCAAAAAATATTGCGACCTAATTTAGGAATTTGGGATTCCTTTACCTGAAACAATTTCGGGTTCGTCGACCGACCCGTCCAGTTCTTATCCATTAGCTTTATTACATCGCTTTTATAATAACGGTTGGCACATTGTTAAGCGTAGCCAGATGTTTCGCCGGGCACGGAAGGGTTAAATCCTAAGGGAACACTTAAAATTACGCACCCTCTTAGTTTTGATTTAACTTAGGTACTTGTTCCTGATATTTAGACGATTCAGCAAAAATGTTAGACAGTTTAAAATTTGTTTCGTTAATTTGAACAATACTCGTAATACGCATTATATCGACTATTATTATGAGTCTTTAAAACTTCATAAGCATATTATTTATTTATTTATTTATTATTATTCAATCATCTTACAAGCTAACAGAATATATTCCAAAGCACTTATAAGACTAATTGTACGTAGGTTATCATCATATAATAATAATTAAGTCAATTAAATAAAACAATATATTTTTTATTATTTATTATTATTATTAAATTACAAGTAAATTATGAAAATAATGTCATAATAAAGTAGTAAATTAATAATCAGTCAAATAAAGTCAAAATAGAAACAATAATAATGTCAAATTGTCAATACGTATAAAAGTCATATAATTTAATTCAAAATTGATTTAAGAGATGTCCTAAACTATCTGCAAATAGATCGATTTCATAGTGCCGAGCAAGAATGTCCCCGATAATTATTACCAGAATTGTGTAACAAAATAACAGACACTATTATACTGTTACATTTTATACTGCTGAATGGACACATTACTTGATCTTCAACTATCCTGTGCCTCAGCTCTGTAGCTCTCATTGTTCTTGTTTGTGTCTACTAGCTCTCTATCAGATAAATAATAATCCGCATAGAAGTTTGATTTTTTTGCCATTTTGTTTCGTGCCTTCGTCTAACACCTTATTTGAGTTGAATTTGTTGCGGCGCTTCTTCTCAGAACTTGCCAAATGTTGGTCTCGAAGCACTGGGCTAAGGGCTATATTTCACCGGGACACCATGGCGGCGCGACCAGTCGCCGGCTACCAACAAAATGTATGCAGCTCTATAGAGAGTTACTCATCTGGTGTCCGTTTGGTTGCACAAAGCTGCATACATTTTGTTGGTAGCCGGCGACTGTTGCGCCGCCATGGTGTCCCGGTGAAATATAGCCCTAAAAGTTTATGAGAATGTAAAAGTTCCATATGAGCAAAACTTTAAGGTTTTTTATAGAGATGGGCCGACTAGTCGCCGACTAGTCGGGAAAGCCGACTATTCGGCATCATTTGTAGTCGGCCGACTAGTGACGACTATTCGGCAAAATATGCCGATTATAATCGGCGCATTACAAAATTAATTATGTGAATGAAATAAACTCATAATCACCAAGATGATTATGATGTAGACCAAGGGCGTTTATCTAAACCACTTTTGACTGCAAAAAATCAGTAAAAAGTGGTTTCACCTGATTTATAATTTTGGCAATCAGTCTAAATTCATACAAAGTTAATATTAGTTAAAATTACCAGGAAATCATCAAAAATGTGTAAAATTTATGTAATTTCATTTGTCCAAAATTTTTTTTTTCACTTTTTTCGGGGAAAAAATGCATGGAATTGCATACCTATCCTGCGGTTAAGTGGTACATTATGTGGGGCTCCTCTCATCGGAAGGATGAGGAATACCCACATAAATAACCCCTGAGATCGCGATCGCCTTAGTGTGAAGAACTATGGAAATCCGGACAAAGCCATCAACTATCACAGTCAGTACCGGCAATTGCCCACCTGTATGGCGGGCCCTGCCTATCCGACCGTGGTGGTAAGTCCGTGCTATGCAGGCGGCCCCCCACGCCCCCAGCTTGCTGACCATCACCGTGGAGGGTGGAGAGGAATCAGTGAGCCTAGGATGCGTGCCGCGATAAGCGCAATTTTGACCATACATTTTGTCGTCGATAAGTAAGAATAATATCACGGCGCGCATCCTAGCCCAGCAGGAGGCGATCATATTGTCACCTCCTCTGACCCCTCCGCCGCCGAAAATTATGAAATCTACCTTAGGTACAGTTACTGTTAGGTGATTGTAATGTTGCTTTTTATTTTATCTTATTATTAAAGAAATCTAATTTCTCAAAAATTTATATTTATCTCTTTAGAAATCTAGATATTCATATTTCTTTGAGAAAATCTAGATAATTTATTCTTCGGACAAGTAGATATTAGAATGATCGGCATTGCCGATTAGTCGGCCGACTAATCGGCAATTTGAAAACCGATTAGTCGGCTAGTCGGTTAGTCGGCAAAGACCATAGTCGGCCCATCACTAGTTTTTTATTAGACTTTTATTTTTATTCTTTTATTATTTTACTATTTAATAGTCTAAGCAAATAAAGGACTTGACTTTGACTTTGACCTTCTTAATTTTTCTTTTGTTTATTTCCAGATCATCCTTTTCGCCATCTTGGCTTGCGCCGCCGCTGCGCCTGCACCTTCGCACGTGCTAGCTTACTCCGCCCCTGCTGTAGTGTCGTCTGTAGTCCAGCCTGCTGTGTCGAGCTACTCTGCATACTCCAGCTCTGTAGTCCACGGCTCCCCTGTAGTGCCTGTAGTCCACTCAGCTCCTGTAGTTCACTCAGTACCTCTTGTCCACTCAGTACCGGTCGCCTACTCCGCCCCTGTACACACAGTATTAGTCTAAGATAGCATTTATGAATAAGTTAATAACGATAGAAATTCTTTACCTTTATGTAGTTTCCAAGTTTTCGAGTAAATTCTGTAACAAACTGACAATGTGATCCTTAATTTTTGGTTTTTGAAATGGTTTGTGCTTTAAAGTTTTTAAATTCTCCAAATTTTAATATACTTATTTCTCTAAATCGGCAAATGTATATGTGATATTATAAGGATAATAATAAAGGACCGGGCCAAGTTTGACCCGTGAGCTCCAAAGCGTACAATAATAATATTAATTTTAAAAAAGCAAGAATATTTTATTTGACATTATAATTCTCCTTCTCCCCAAAGCTATGAATTCACGAAATAAGTCAAACTAACATCGACATTCGAGACTCCATAAGGTCTCACAGTACGCGTGGACGCACAGGATGACACACGAACCAATCACAGAGCTCTATTCAACGCTGTGCGTTCGATTTGCTGCTTCGGGTTAGTAGTAGTTTCGCACGATTTTCCTTCGCATGTGCGAAACGTCCCCTTTCAATAATAATTTTAGTAGGCGTTTCGCCCGGATTTATCAAAAGTATTAAAAACGGGTGCGAATCGACCCCTTTGAGAACTAGTAATTTCATTCGTGCGAAGGAAAATCTTGCGAAACTACTACTAACCCGCTGCTTCACTTAAACAAGCATCGTTTATGAATACGGGCGTTAAAGTGGTATATAGGAGATTCATGTTTGTAAGGTAAACTTATCTCTTGTTATGTGGGGAGAGAATGTAGAAATGTATGCTTTTGGCAAGTTCCTTTGATTGCGGAGTGCACAATCAAAATTTTCAGAGAGAGAGAGCCATGCGGGTGATATGCTATTAGGCCCGATTCGACCAAACTTTTATCCGAGAATAACTCCTGGTATAACTGGCACATTGAGTTTCAGTATGGGAAATACTCGTATTATTATTCTAAGATTAATATTCATTTATTCTTGTTTGGTTGAATCTACCTTAAGTAGTTGATTATAATAAAGTTATGGATAAGTTAAAAAGCTCAACCTACTCGTAGATAACAAATAGGCATATGAGTTTCAGTTATTGATTAATTTTCATCAGTTCTAGTGATTCAGAGCTTCCTATTCGTATACCAGTTATATTTATAAATGATCTATAAAGAGCAAATAGTAGGAAAATGACAAAAGCAAATATACCAAACGTGATAGGAAATACTACAAACATTTTATCTTTAATTTTCTTGATGCCAGAAACATTTTTCTCAAATGTTATGTTTAGGCGGTCGTTGACTCTTAAAGGTTAACGACTCTATCCTTTACATTCGAAATAGTTCCAGTATACTATTATAATGTTTAGTTATTGTTCCCTTTGAATGTAGGGTAAACACACCACGAGAAACACTTGTCAATTATTGCATCATTCTCATAACCAATGTCGAATACATAAATCTAATAATAGAATAGAAAGCTTAATTATTATTTTATTATGCAATAAAGGCTTGAATTTCATGTCAGATTTTTTGGAATCCTAAATTAATTAAATAAGCATGTGTGCGTATGGGCTTGCACGTATCGTATCCTACATACTACGTAATCGTGAGTTCGATGCTTGGAAAAAGGATGAACATAATTATTGAAGTATTTATATTAATTGGCTATTTAGTTATTGCATAACATAAAGTGAATGGCCCTTTATCAAAATGTTCAAGGTAAACACGGAAATAGTGTCGATTGCCGAGAAAATGCATTCTGATATCAAGCTGAAGAGTTTAGAGTCCAAGATAGATTAGAAGTGGTTTACGCTGACCGAAACTCAGAGCCCGCCACGCGCCCTTACCTAGGTGCTTTTCTTTACGCGAACGACCTATAGCCAACGCCCTGAATTGCATATTTTACCAACGTCACAAAGGTATCTAGGAATACGCCTACTAATCGGACCGGTNACGTTCAAAAGTTTGGCTGTACACGAGCACGTAGGTACACAAGATGTTGTTCTCTTTTATGAAATTTGTTAGTACTAAGGTTGAATTATTAAATATTCACTGTTAAATGTGATTAATTTATCACTTTTACCGCGACTGTCGGTAATTATTCATAATAACCGGTTATAATTAATAATTTTCAAATTATAATCAAAGGTTTTCAAATATTTATCTTTTTATCTGACTTAAAATTACGTTTACGTGACAATAGATAGCAAAAGTAGCCATATAAAATGTATTTTAACAAAAAAATAATATTTTAAATCAGATTTACTCTATCGTTAAATTCGTCTTTAGAATAAAAAAAGAAAAAAATTAAAAAAGTGTTATTTTTTAGAATAATATGGCGTTTCAAACAATAGTCTGGTGAAGTGAGTGTCTCTCTCCGAAAAGCGGGACCGAGACTGTCCCGCGCGGGACATTTAAATTTGATTTAAAAATCGGGACGTCCCGCCAAAATCGGGACGTCTGGCAACGCTGGTTGTGCGTTGATAGATCACTATGTCAGTCAGTCAGTCGGTCACCTTTGAGTTATAATATTTAGATTATTATTATTATTACTCGTATGCTCGTTATTACATTTTGAAATCAATTAATGGTTCATTGTAAACACCGAAAAAGTTCAGATCACTGACAAAATGTTGTTTGGGGATTAAATTCTAAGGCAGGGTGATTTCAAGATGGTGCAATCTTACTTTAACTTTAACAAACGTCAAAAATCTGTCAAACTCCATACAAGCACCTGTTATCGTTATAGTTTTAGTTAAAGTTAGGTGGTACAACTCAGCCTAAGACTACATTCTAAGATAGGTAAGAGTTGTTTATGCTGGCTGACCGAAGTTCAGGGCCCGCCATGCGCCTTTACCTAGTAGCTTTTCTTTACGCTAACGACCTCTAGCCAACGCCCTGAATTGCATATTTACCTACGTCACAAAGGTATCTAGGAATACGCCTACTAATCGGACCGGTATAAAAGCTGAAGCCAAAGGGGTAAATGCATCAGTTACATTTCGTAAACAACACAGACCACAATGTTTAAGCTGGTGGTGTTGTCCTCTGTCCTGGCCATGGCGGCCGCCGCGCCCAGCGCCCTGGGTCTGGGCTGGGGCCTGGGAGGACTCGGCTGGGGCGGTCCCCTGGCCGGCCTCGGCGCCCCGCTAATCGGCCACGCGGCCCCCGTGGCGGTCGCGGGCCCCGCAGTGGCCCTCGGCGCGCCCCTGCACGGCGCCGCCTACAACTACCGCGGCCCCGTCTCGCTCGCCCCCGGCCAGCCCGCCAGCATCCTGGCTGCCGACGGCAGGCCCCTGGACACCCTGAGCGTGAACCTGGACCGCGCCGCGCACCTCACCGCGAGGGCCGTTGACGCCACGTTGGGCCACGGCGCGCACATCCTGGGCAAGCGCTCGGCGCCGCTGCTGGCCCCCGCCGCGGCCTGGTCGCACACCGCCCGCATCGACATCCCCGCCGCCCGCCTGGTGGCCCCCGCCGGCCTCGGCTTGCACGGCGCCGTCGCGCCCTGGGGCGTGGGCCCCGTGGGCCCCGCCGTGGGTCTCGGCCATGCCGGCGTCCTCGGACACGCTGGTGTCTGGGGCCTCCATGGCTAAATTGTAAATATGAAACCTAGCCTATTGTATAATGTATCTATCTACCTATAGTTTATAAAGAGAGTTACCACGACACTTATATGTTTTAATTCTACCCTGAATGCAATACCCTATTCTATTTAAAACTCGTAGAATTATTCTTACTGTATGATAATTCTACATAGCATGGTGATCCATGTTGTTAGATCTGTCCTATCGAACCATGGTCCACCAGGCCTAGAGAGTCCAAAACCATATCCGTGAATACTTAATACCTCAGAATATGCAACAACATAATGATAAGAAGACACGATAGTTAGCTGCTTAGACACAAGTAAGAATGAGAATGAAGAAATTAGAGTCAGAATACAATATAAGTAGGTATTCGTAAAAATTTTCGTCTTGCGTCACAACACAATAAGTTACATATCAAATTCACTGATTGCATCCAACGGTAACGATTCACTTACAGGGCAGATATGTACCATCCTAGACTGCATCCCACTTAACATCAGGTGCGATTGTGGTCAAATACCTGCCTTGTTATGCATAAAAATAAAAAAAAAAACGATGAAAATCCTTGGGGGAGGCCTTTGTCCAGCAGTGGACGTCATTTGGCTGAAACATGTGTACAGCGGTGGCAACTGCTTACCATCACAGGTGATCTGTTCGTCTGCCACCTATCATTTTACATAAAAAATTTGTCAAGTGCCTCGCGCAGCATAGGGATCCGTAGTTGACAGTGACAGTGAGTGTAGACAGACAGACAGACAGACATATCGAAACTATAAGGGTTCCTTGTCAGGACTACTGAACCCTAAAAACAGAACAGAACGACGGGAGAAGAATATACATCATCATTATTTCAGCCAACGGCACTTCTCTGCCTTCCACACTCCCTCCTACCTAGGTCTCTCATAAGGAACGCCAATCGCTTTTTTCATCCGGCCACTGTCAGCTATCATCTTGAGGTCGTACAAATAAAAAGAAAATTCTAATAAGCTGTATATCGCAAAGTATGTAATAATTACTATGCTGCTGGATGCTGCGCTGCTTTTCATATTAACAATAACCAACGTAGTCGCCCCAAACAAACTTGGCGGCGCACTGTAGCAAACGAGGCGAAGAAAATTAGCATGACTTAGAGCGACATCCAACGCGAAGCTCAAGACCGAACGCGATGGAGGACTGTTGTAGACGCCCTCTGCCCCATCTAGGGGACATAGGACATTAAGGTTGAGTTGCACCACCTAAGTTTGACCGTAACTATAACGATAACCGGTATTTTTGGTATGGAGTTTGTCAAGTTAAAGTAATATGGTGCAAGTGGTGCAACCCAGCCTAATTCAAGTTAGTCAAACTGGTGAACAATATGAGAGAGAAAAGTACACGTCGTGTACTTAATATCATTAAAACACATTAACATTCATGAATTTGACTTATTCTGGACTCAGTTAGTTTTAAAAAGTACTTTTTAAGCGTCTCAACATTACCTACCTACAGTCTACACTTATTGCCTACCTAAGGCAGTCATTAATTTGGTTTGAAATTAGTTTGAGGTGTGAAGCATTATAGTTACATACTTAAATGCAAAAATACTCCTAGAAAAGAACGATAAACTACGATTAATTAGATAAAATCCGAAACATAAATAAATTTATTTATAAGTTATATTAAGATCCCTACTGATATGTATTCTTACCTATTTTTAAATATGTACGAGTACCTATGTACTTAATCTATAAAAAATGTTTATAAATAAATTAATGTTTTACATAATAGGCTTTGATTTGAGTTAGAGTTTTCAAGAGATAATTAAGTAGGTAAATACTGACGATGTAATTTTAAGATAATTATAATCTTTCTTTAAAAGCCAAAACAAAGCAGGGAAGCCGCTACCAATCGATCAACATGGAAAGCATTGGGAGAGGCCTATGTTCAGCAGTGGACGTCCTATGGCTGAAATGATGATGATGATGATGATGATGATGCTGCAAAAACTACATTTTACCCCTGGCTTCTCTCTCGTAAAATACCATCTGTTACGGAAATACATTATTGTGCCATTTATAAGTTGCGTCCCCGTTTTACCCATTGAATTTAAAAAAAAATATTAGTCCTCACCTAAGTTCTTTAAAGGTATGTTGCTTCCTCCCATTTATTAAAGCTATGTACGCTATTATACGTATAGTTAGTTACATCATACTGTGTGTAAAATAAAAAGAGTCAGAAAAGTGTTATCGGCCATTATAACAGTGGTAATAAGAAGCCCTTAAGTCAATTTAAAGTTAATAAATCAGGCCTTTGATTAGTTAAATTGCAATGTTCAGACGTAGTAGTAGAATATGAGTCGAGATATACCTACATCGTTTTGTAATATGGCCCTTAAGATCTCATGAAAGCTGACCGCAAAGACGCTCAAAATGTAATAACTAGGACTTATTATTATTGTTACTCGTATGTTCGTTATTTCATTTTAAAATCAAAATCGTTCATTGTATGTAAAAAGTACTGATCACTGAAAAAATGTTTTTTGGGGATTAAATTCTACGGCAGGGTTGTACTATCTTTCTATAACTTTATCAAACGTCAAAAATCTGTCAAACTCCATACAAAAAGCACCGGATAACGTTATAGTTATATTTAAAGTTAGGTGGTACGACTAAGCCTTAGACTACATTCTAAGATAGGTAAGAGTTGTTTATGCTGGCTGACCGAAGTTCAGGGCCCGCCATGCGACTTTACCTAGTAGCTTTACTTTACGCTAACGACCTCTAGCCAACGCCCTGAGTTGCATATTTACCTACGTCACAAAGGTATCTAGGAATACGCCTACTAATGGGACCGGTATAAAAGCTGAAGCCAAAGGGGTAAATGCATCAGTTACACTTCGTAAACAACACAGACCACAATGTTCAAGCTGGTGGTGTTGTCCTCTGTCCTGGCCATGGCGGCCGCCGCGCCCAGCGCCCTGGGTCTGGGCTGGGGCCTGGGAGGACTCGGCTGGGGCGGTCCCCTGGCCGGGCTCGGCGCCCCGCTGATCGGCCACGCGGCTCCCGTTGCGGTCGCGGGCCCCGCAGTGGCCCTCGGCGCGCCCCTGCACGGCGCCGCCTACAACTACCGCGGCCCCGTCTCGCTCGCCCCCGGCCAGCCCGCCAGCATCCTGGCCGCCGACGGCAGGCCCCTGGACACCCTGAGCGTGAACCTGGACCGCGCCGCGCACCTCACCGCGAGGGCCGTTGACGCCACGTTGGGCCACGGCGCGCACATCCTGGGCAAGCGCTCGGCGCCGCTGCTGGCCCCCGCCGCGGCCTGGTCGCACACCGCCCGCATCGACATCCCCGCCGCCCGCCTGGTGGCCAATATTTCATCTCAATGTATTTGAAATCCTTAAGTGGGCAATAGCTATACGGTTTACCCTATGTACGAGTACCTATGTACTTAATCTATAAAAAATGTTTATAAATAAATAAATGTTTTACATAATAGGCTTTGATTTGAGTTAGAGTTTTCAAGAGATAATTAAGTAGGTAAATACTGACGATGTAATTTTATCTGTTTAGATAATATAATCTTTCTTTAAAAGCCAAAACAAAGCAGGGAAGCGCTGAACGCAGGCTGCTACCAATCGATCAACATGGAAAGCATTGGTGGAGGCCTATGTTCAGCAGTGGACGTCCTATGGCTGAAATGATGATGATGATGATGCTGCAAAAACTACATTTTACCCCTGGCTTCTCTCTCGTAAAATGCCATCTGTTACGGAAATACATTTGTTTGCCATTTATAAGTTGAGGCCCCGTTTTACCCATTTAGGGGTTGAATTTAAAAAAAATATATTATTGCTCACCTAAGTTCTTTAAAAGTATGTTGCTTCCTCCCATTGATTAAAGCCAGACAGAAAAGTGTTTATTAAAGCCAGACAAAAAAGAAAAGACTCAGAAAAGTGTTATCGGCCATTATAACAGTGGTAATAAAAAGCCCTTATGTCAATTTAAAGTTAATAAATCAGACCTTTGATTGGTTAAATTTCAATGTTCAGACGTAGTAGGTAATCTACGAGTATGCTAGAATAGAGTCGAGTTATACATAGTTTTTGTAATATGGCCCTTAAGATCTCATGAAAGCTGACCGCAAAGACGCTCAAAATGTAATAACTGGGACTTACCTACTTACTAGCGGCCGCCTGCTACTTCGTACGCGTGGATCCCATTTAACCCCTTTAGGGGTGGAGTTTCGTAAAATCCTTTCTTAGCGGATGCCTATGTCGCAGTCAGATTGTATAATCCGTCGTTTTACATTACAGCTAGGCATTTTGCATTACAGCTCTGTTTTGTAATACGGCGGCTTAACGTTTAGCCGGATTGAATACAGCTGAATGAAAATCCGCCGGAATGTATTCGGCGCTAAACGTTCTTCAATACGGCTAGCCGTAATGTAAAACAGCGTGTCATTACCCGCCGCTTTGACAGTTTTTAGTTCCTATTTTCAATACCGTGGCGCTGCCGGACAAAGTGGCTATGTATTCTGGTGTTCGGCGGAATCCTACACAATATTATTAATGTAAAAATATGAAATCATGGCCTTGGCCGGTGAAGATAATTTTATCTTAAAGAAAAATAACCCAGAAAAATTGACTAAGACTTTATTGTTTTGAGTTACCTGTCCCCTGTGATCATTTTTAATGTCTAAAAAAGACTAAAGCCAAATATCTAATTAATTCTTAAAATGTTTAGAAAAGTTTAATTGTTATGAGTTACTTTTTTTTAGATGGCTATCCCTTGTGATTTATAAATAAGTAAAAAAAAATACTGAAGCCAAATATATTATTAGGTATACAGTAACGAAGATAATAATTCTTAAAATCTGTCTTTTAAAATTTATTTTCATTAAAGATTGTTTTATTTTGTAAGTATGGTCAACCTACAATCTAAGTAGTAGTACGATGCGGCTAAACGTGGGCCGCCGTATTGAAGAACGTATCGCAATGACAATCCGCCTAAACGTTGAACCGCCGTATTACAAAACAGAGCTGTAATGTAAAATGCCTAGTGGTAATGTAAAACGGCGGATTATACAATCCGACTGCGACACCTACATAACATCTACCAGCATGCCAAATTCAGCCTGATCCGTCCAGTGGTTTGGGTTGTGCGCAGCGTTGCCAGTTTTTTTTTTCGCCAAGTCGGGACTTTGGTACTTTTTGAGTGAAAATAGCGGGATTCTTCCGTCAGAAGCGGGACATAGTAAAAAAAACGTATATATGTTACGGTCAAAGTGATAAATGTGAAAATTATGAATAATCGCCGGTTATTATGAATAATTACCGCATGATTTGGTAAATGTGATTAATATGAGGTCATTTATGTGTGTATAAAACTAAATAGGCGGCACCTTAACCTATTTTTCACTTTAAATCAAAACATTATGTTACAGGCATCATGGAAAAGTAATATTATGCAAGAAACATTCTAAACTCATTATGCCAAATTATATTAATATATGATATCAAAACGTTCAAAAGTTTGGCTGTACACGAGCACGTAGGTACACAAGATGTTGTTCTCTTTTATGAAATTTGTTAGTACTAAGGTTGAATTATTAAATATTCACTGTTAAATGTGATTAATTTATCACTTTTACCGCGACTGTCGGTAATTATTCATAATAACCGGTTATNCGCGAGGGCCGTTGACGCCACGTTGGGCCACGGCGCGCACATCCTGGGCAAGCGCTCGGCGCCGCTGCTGGCCCCCGCCGCGGCCTGGTCGCACACCGCCCGCATCGACATCCCCGCCGCCCGCCTGGTGGCCCCCGCCGGCCTCGGCTTGCACGGCGCCGTCGCGCCCTGGGGCGTGGGCCCCGTGGGCCCCGCCGTGGGTCTCGGCCATGCCGGCGTCCTCGGACACGCTGGTGTCTGGGGCCTCCATGGCTAAATTGTAAATATGAAACTAGACTATTTTATAATGTACCAATCTGCCTATAGAGTATAAAGAGAGTTACCACAATACATTACGTTTCCTTCACTTTTATCCTGAATACCCTAAAACCCTATTCTCTTTAAAGTATTCATTAGGTTATACATAAATATCGTATAAGGTCACAACTGTCTTCTTCTATTGTAGATAGGCTAACATCTGAAATCATTACCCAGGTGTCAGAAAGCTGACACCAAAACTATTGTACTATTAGCAAGGCTCTATCATCAGACCCTAGTATCTTAATGCCTAACATGCCTTCTGAAATACAAAGCCGTAACTTTTTCAATCAACCAGGTTGATTAAAAACTTAAATTTTTAATTTAGTAGCTGGTCCCACATGGAGACTCCAGTTACAAAATAAAGTTCTAAAGGCGGTGGATATCTGAATGATAAGGGTAAAACACGAGTTGACTGGCCGTGGTATCTTATTGAGTCGTATTAATAAATGCAATATTTCATCCAAAATGTAACTATACATACCTACTATCGACATTACTCCCAAAAGTTTTATTTAGCAAATAAAAAGTGTTTGCCTCAAAAATTATTTCTATAATAGTAAACAGGTTCTTTGAATAAAATTGCCATTCTGTTTATGATATAAATAAATACAATGAGGGATACAAATACACTACTTATTTGCACAGTTTCAGGTACACAAATAGTAATAATATTAAGAATATTTTTGTATTGGAAACCTTTTGTGGGGTAATGCCTTACTATAGTATCGTAATCACAATCATGTACGCAGTTAGTACTAAAAATAACGTGTACTTATATTCCTACATGGGATAACGTGAAGTAAACATCCTAATTGTATACACAGTAATGCGCCATTCGCAAACAGGTTGTCTGATTACCTTATTTATCCTGAAGTTCAAAGAAAGTACATAAATAAATCTACTTATCCAGAGATAACATCTAGAAAAAATGTAGGTAATATAACGTCTAGAGAAAAAGATCTACGCATTATTTCATTTTTGAAACTTACTGCAATTGTGATCTGCGAGATGCCGCGCTACCTTGCATCGCTTGACGATAACTAATTGTTTAGGATTGCAAGGAAGGAAAAAAGCTTAACAAAACAGGTTTTTGCAGACTTCATAACAAAGTTCATCCTCTTAGAAATTATTGTGCTCGGTGCTTTGCATACGGTTTGGGGTCCGGGATTTGTTTGACCAATTGACCAAAAGTTAATTAAGGCCATTTTCTATTAGAAACTACTTAGCTACCTTAAAACTGGCACGGGTGCACTTAACGGAGTGGTTCACGCATAAAAAAGCGGTCGAGTAAATAAGAGACAATAACATCTCGGGCAAAAGTAGTCCTTTCAGGGCCAATTATTTCTTCCGGCGACGCCCAATGCAACTAAATGATGCTAGTATATAAACCGATTGCAACATCGCAATAGCATCAGTTCTTCTGAGTACAGAAAGCAACACAGACCACTTACAAAATGATGAAGCTGGTGGTGTTGTCCTGCCTGATGGCCGCCGCGTCTGCTGGCATTATCTCTGCTTACTCCCCCTACGCTGCCTACGGCGCCATCGCCTACAGTGCGCCCGTCATCGCGCCCAGCAACTACCGCGGACCCCTCTCCCTGGCCCCCGGACAGCCCGCCAACATCCTGGCCGCTGACGGCAGGCCCCTGGACACCTTGGACGTCAACCTGGACCGCGCTGCTCACCTCACTGCCAAGGCCTTGGACGGTGGAGTCCACCTTCTGAAGAAGCGCTCCGCTCCTCTGATCGCCGCCGTCGCTCCCGTGGCCCGCGTCGCTCACAGCTCCCTGGTCGCTCCCGGAGCCATCGCCTACTCTGCCCCCATCGCCACCGCCTACGGCGCCCCCATCGCCACCGCCTACGGCGCTCCCCTCGCCTACGGTGCCCCCCTCATCCACTACTAAGCTGTACTAAAGAGACCTGATGTAAATATGAAATGCAATTAAACTAAGGTTTACAAAAATGTTGTCTTCTTCATTTACCTAAACTATGCAATGAATTCATAATGTAATATGCAAACTAAAGTCGAATTAGCTTAGTTCATCGTACTCGTACTTTAGAATTAGATTCACATCAGGAACAATTGAGCTTTGCGAACTATCCACTCTCTATCTATAGCTAAACTGACAACACCGTTGTGCTAGGCAACAAGTTTTATAATTTAATCTGCGTTATAAATAAGCTTCAATAGTCCATGGTGTCACCTACCTGTTAACTGATATTACTATAGGTTCTCCGTAGTTAAACCTAGAACAAAACTACAGTTACAAATATTCTTATTCTTAAAAAATATTCTTATTCTTTTCTACAACTCTATAATCTTAGAGGAATTTGAACTTTCAATACAATTTCATATTTTTTTTATTGTTTTGATTTTCATACAACATCAATTTATTTTTCAATGGTCAAATGGTCATTATTATTATGGTGAATTATTCGAATAAATAAAAAAAATGTACCCAAGTATTAAAACCAACCTGACGTCATGCTGTCACCGAAATCCATATTAAAGGATTTTATGAAAAAAAGTGCAAGTTAAAAGAAATTCTTCAGCTCAGTCCAAACAAGTGTTCAGAGCTGATTTAGCTATTAAAAAAAAACTTTCTTAAGATTTAGGGTAGTTGTTACGATTGTAACAACTCGAATGTTATCGAAACTATGCACGATAGATGAGGGGTACAAGGGGAAGGGCAAGCGGGTGACAGAAGTACATGCAGCCTGTATGATAAAATAATCGTCAACAAAGGACTGTCATTCCCAGACTCGTCAATATCTTGCGTACTAAGTTGGGCTGTAAATGTCATCATCATCAGTTTGACTGACAAAGAAAGCAAGTGGGATACCCGGCAGTTATCTATTGTGGAATTCTCATACACTCATATACTCTCATATAGTATACAGGGTGTTAGGTAAATGGGTATATGAGCCGACACTAGTCCATGTTAACATATGCATAAAAATGGTATGATGAAGTCAGAAAATTGATATCATCATTTTAATTATTTTCATTTTCATACAAATCTGATTTTATAAATATTATTTTGTATGAACATTTAATAAATTAAAATGATGATATCAAATTTCTGACTTCACCATACCATTTATATGCGTAAGTTAACATGGGCTAGTGTCGGCTCATATACCCATTTACCTAACACCCTGTATAGAGATGAGAGAGTTTTTATCTTAAAACATAAAAAGGGTCCCAATTCCGTTCCGTTCTTCCTTTCTTACAAATATCTAGAAACCCTCAATTTCGTCCCTGACACACTTTTGACCATCAAAATTCATAGGGTACTTCTTGAAGTCCTAGAAAGCTGAATTAAGCTAGTATTAGTACAAAAACAGCAAAAAATTTTTGAACTTGGAGCTTTTTTACTCCCTACCAACTCCTTGAAATAGGAAATGGAAAGTATGAGATTTCTGCGATTCTAGAGGTCTAAATTGGTATGAGTTTTCTACAAAAAGAAGTGAAACACATTTTCATGTAAAGTGTTGCTACTACGAATCGTATGACCCGTACTGTGAAAAACTTATCATGTAGAGCCAAGGTTCGAACTCTACTACGAGTAGGTTGTTTTTAATACAATGAATATCAGTCTTGTTCTAATAATTCACAATTAATAAAATAAATAATTGATGTAGAATGGAAATCGAAGCTGTTTTCTCAATGAAAAATTAATTAAATTGTATCGAAAGTTGAAATCCTTCTGAGATAATAGAGTTGTAGCTTATATTAGATTCATTAAATGCGTTCACTGAATATCTAATTGTCGCGTTAGAAATAAACCTGGAAGTAGTTTCCTTTGAGAGTTTGAATATTTTAGTTAGATATGTCCCAATTTAGTATAGTTAAGAATTGAGTAGGTAATTAAACTTCGTCTAGGTACACTATTTAGGACCTAGAGCAATATCACTCGTAACACAAAGCATATTTAGCTTACCACGAGGGGTTAGCGGGATTATTACTAATTATTGCTAATATTATTTTGTTAAAAAAAATCAGTTATAACACCTGCAGGTGAAACTAAAGGCCATTTAAAAAGCTAATTTAAGTTGAATTGTTAACACAAAACTGCGTTATTTGATAAACATAAGGTTCAAAGTAGCCTGGATGCCACAGTTTGCGTAGGACAACTGGTGTTGTCATATGGTAAGTTCGCAAAGCTTAGCTCAATTAGTTCCTGGTGTGAATCTAATTCTAAAGTACTTTAGCTTGCGTAGTTTAAGTATAGTATGGCTACACTGCATAGTTTAGGTAAATGAAGAAGACAACATTTTTGTAAACTTTAGTTTAATTGCATTTCATATTTACATCAGGTCTCTTTAGTACAGCTTAGTAGTGGATGAGGGGGGCACCGTAGGCGAGGGGAGCGCCGTAGGCGGTGGCGATGGGGGCGCCGTAGGCGGTGGCGATGGGGGCAGAGTAGGCGATGGCTCCGGGAGCGACCAGGGAGCTGTGAGCGACGCGGGCCACGGGAGCGACGGCGGCGATCAGAGGAGCGGAGCGCTTCTTCAGAAGGTGGACTCCACCGTCCAAGGCCTTGGCAGTGAGATGAGCAGCGCGGTCCAGGTTGACGTCCAAGGTGTCCAGGGGCCTGCCGTCAGCGGCCAGGATGTTGGCGGGCTGACCGGGGGCCAGGGAGAGGGGTCCCCGGTAGTTGCTGGGCGCGATGATGGGCGCACTGTAGGCGATAGCGCCGTAGGCAGCGTAGGGAGAGTAAGCAGAGATAACGCCGGCAGACGCGGCGGCCAACAGGCAGGACAACACCACCAGCTTCATCATTTTGTAAGTGGTCTGTGTTGCTTTCTGTACTCAGAAGAACTGATGCTATTGCGATGTTGCAATCGGTTTATATACTAGCATCATTTAGTTGCATTGGGCGTCGCCGGAAGAAATCGCTGGCCCTGAAAGGACTACTTTTGCCCGAGATGTTAACGATCGTTTATTTACTCGACCGTTCTTTTTCTTTGTGCGTGAAGTTTTAATTAAGTGCGTTCCTATTTTAGAGTGTAACATACGATATGTGCGAGGTGTCAGCGCCAGCCTGCAATTTCATGGTTCGTTGCGAATCGCGATATGCCACCAAGTGACATCTCGATGCTCTCTCTGTTTATAGACTGAGATATTTAAAGCGATAATAAGAGCACTGAAAATTATCAAACTTCAAATTAGTTAACAACTAAGTACCTACTTTATATTGGTTTTAAGTATTATTTTACACAAACAAGCCTCTAGGATCAAATATACAATTTATTTTTTTAAATCCCGAGCCAAAAAAGGGGTGTTAATTTTTATGTTGAACAGATAGTAGGTGCAGATGCAGATTTCTATTGAAACAAATATACATTTCTTGGAAAAATTATAAATCTCTGAAGAATTTGAAATAATTTAACTGAAGGTTGGTTTATTCTTACTAGCATTATGCAACGATTACATCAGCTAAACTTCCAGGTAAGCAGCTTATCATAAGTATGAGTGCCTACATAATCCATTCACTTTGTCGTAAGGACCTACTTGACATTAAAAAAGGACAAAGACATGATCTAATTGTTGTTATCTACTTCGTTGGAAAGCTCAGGCTTTTAAGAGGTCATTTACTCGTATTGTACTACGAGCCAATCTGTAAATCATCTGACAAAATTAATCATAGGTGTAAAATTGACTAGCTTCAGATTCTGGGTCCGTCACAGTAGTCTTTATATTATTTCACTATCAAAGCCTACCTATGATCTTCATCAAGTTCTAACCTATATGTATACTACTAATTCTTATATTCTACGAGTATTTCTACGTGACGTTACAAATGGACATGGATAAACACCCACGTTCTATTGATAACTTTGTCAATTATTTTTCACTCGACATTGGCAGAAATAAACCTCCCAGAGAAGTTTGGTTGCCATTAAAAAAAAAAAAACCCATTAATAACTATATTTGGTATCGAACTGTGTTACATTTGGCACGCGACGATGACTTGCACTTATTAAAATCATAATAGCTGTACCTATATTGTATCTGTCACTGTTTATGTTTGTATATCTATTAATTAATACAATAGATTAAATTGAAGGTAAGATTGTCAATTGTCATTGATGCATTAATGTTTTCTGCGACAAAGTTGCAAGTTGACATTCTTCCCACATTGTATTCGAAGATACAGTTAGGAACGAAAATAAGTTATTTAGTTAGTCTTGTGATTAAAAAAATACACTGCCTTAGGTGGGAACTGAATCCACCACTTACCGGGCAATTACTAGGTACAAAGTACTGGTAAGTACTGACGACAGCCTCTGTCTATAACCAATTGCATTTTTTCAAGTTTTGGTTAATTTAATTTTGATTTTAACTTGATACATAAATTAACTACACTTAGTATAAGTCAAACCGATAAGGATCAACTAATAAAATGTTGCCTGCCATTTTGTAGTTAAATCATGCTTATTATTTCTCTGTATATAATTTCCAATAATCGATCTGGTATAATTATAATTAAAGCTGCTAATGACTGGGCTACTGGCCGATTGCGACCGGATAAGTGTAATTGCAAACTCATAGTCCCCGATTTTCATAAACTACTGCTACATTTGGGATGATAATATACAAGAATAAACAGTTTTCAAGATGGAAAATAGAAGTTCTTTTATTGTTTCTAAAAAGTACAGTCGACAGCATATTGGACTTAATTCAACAGCAAAATCGCACTTATTAAGTACTGATGTGTCGTTGTCCTGTACGGCTTAAAGCTTTTTTAAAGCTTTTACAATAACTCACCTAAAAGTACTTATTCGCATTATCTATTAAGAAAAACATAGCTTTAATTAAAACATAAGTAACAAACATTAATCCTTGCTATTAAGTGATAGGTGTGAAATGTAAATGACATCAAGTACTATCGCATACTTGATTAGCTATTGGTATAAGTTGAAACAAGGATTGTAGATAGAATGCAATATCGACACTCAATAAGTTACTTAATACTTTTTGATGACGCCAATTTGTTGTTTCTAGTTTTCCACTTAACCTGGATATGATGAAGGTTGAATGTCTTTCGAAGGACGAGGCTTGGGAAAAGGAAAGGTTTTTGTGGTACTTAAAGGTCGCTCCCAAATAAGATAAATCCATTGTAGGATGCTAGTTACAATCATAATCTGCAATGTAAAGTATACATAAAAATAACAATTAAGGAGTATTGTGTTGCTAAGCACAAAGGTCGAGAAAAAAGCTGGACTAATCCAGCTTTTTTTCGGGAAAATTGAATGTTTCTTTTTTCTATAGGATATACTTATGTGTGAGGGATGGATTTATACGAGTATGTCGATTTGTTCTATCTCAAGACGATGTTTATCGAATCATTAGTTAGGAATTAAACCAGTAGGGTTTCATTCTGAGATGTATGAGCAGCACAAATGTGTATAGAAATTAATCCCAATACCCGGGAAAAAGTATTTTTGGACATAGAAAACCTTGAATACCAGTATTTTTTCAAGGCGAGAGTGAATAGGCACTTACAGGGCAGGTATGTACCATCCTAGACTGCATCCCACTTAACATCAGGTGCGATTGTGGTCAAATACCTTCCTTGTCATGCATAAAAAAAAATTCTTCTATAGATGGAAGATACGTAATGCTAAAGTATGGTTAAATTCATTCATCTAATATTAATATTATACCAAAAGTACTGTCACTTCATATTAGATTCCAGCTATTTGGCAGAGGCTTAAGACTATTAATCAATGCTTTAGTTTCACAGCTTGTTATCTGCCCGCGCGCAGCGTGACGTATCGAAGGGCACCCACTGTTCTTTGCATCTTGATTCGATGGCATTCACTAATTGATCTGATGTCATACGGCTAGCCGTGCGTAAATAATAGTGCGAATTTAAAAGAGAGTTGCCATGGCATACCAGTTTAAGATTACCATTTAAATTATATCGGTGTCATTCAACTTTCCATTGTATTTTAAGCCCAATTTACAACACGACGCTGAAAATTCCTTTAAAGCTCGGTCACAAGTAGATTCAAGAATGCAATCAGTTAAACAATATTTGGAATAATCCACAGGCTGATATTCTGTTCTTGATTGTAAAGATAAATGAATGAAATTCGAGGAAAAGCTCTATCTCCTTACTAAGCTGAGGTTGTGACTGTAGCTGTTAAATCAACATACTAAACATACCCACACTCTCGATTAATTTGAACCTTTACTCAAAAAATAAACTCTTTATTTACCTAAACTGGCTTTTAATCCGGTACGCGATAAAGCGACCCACGAGCAATTTTAAATACGGAACCCATTAATTGAAAATACGAATGGCCAGTTCAATAAAAGTAAACAGTAAGAACCAATGAAATTTATTGGCCCATTCACATTTATTTATGAGTTGTTAAGAGAATCTGTTAAAATGGTTTCAAGATATGGCCAAATTAATATCTTTACACGTCTTGTCCCATTATTGAGCCTCTTTATAGAAGTTAATGATTCGTTTATGTTCTTAAACCATAATTGCAGACATGGAATAATAAAATAGCCATGAAGGAGTTTTAAACATACTGTCTTGAAGACTTGAAGACAGGTCGATTGGATGAAAAGTATGTGCTTAAAGGTAAAAATAAATGATAAGTATGCAATTGAATATTTTCTGAGGTAAGTATTTAATGGGAGAAGTACATATTAACAGAAATATGTAATTAAATAGAAAACGAAAAATATCCCCAGTAAATTTAAAACAAGCACATTAATAACTAACCACATAATACTAAATTATGGTTCATTCACACCTATTTCAATTGAAGTCTTCTAAATATTGTAGGTAATTTGAAATTTCACAATGATTTTACTGTATTAATTAAGTAACAATCAAATGTTTTTCTTTTGATAATTTTCATAAAGCAGTCCAGTAAAAAATAAAGGTAACAAACTAAGTTGTGTTGGCAACTGATATTTGTCCTTGTACAGCAATGATCCTTGTGGGTTCGTAAATTTTCCTAAGCTTTTCTTTTGTACACTCGCAAAATTTTCCCAATTTTAGGACAACAAATAAGTATTATTATGTTGTCGGTTAGCAACAAAATTAAACATTTTGTAAATGGTAATGAGATTTAAATACATTATTCAGGTGCGATCTGATGTACGTCATTGACACAATTGGGACGACCAGAATCTGGGTAACGTTTTGGGTAACAACCGTTTTGCCTGACAACAACGCTGTCTCATTATCATACAACACATGATAGAATAACTTTCGGTAACATTTTAAATAAGGAAAGTAAATATAGTTTAAAGTTTTGCATATAAGATATCTCGTAGGTTAAAGTAAGTAAAAGAAAAAAGTTTGACGAGTTGAGAGCGAGCGCTCGTGCCTCAGTTTAAAATCAACGTTGATACTAATATACACAAAGTCGGCTTTTGCTTACCAATGAGTGTGCATTGCCCTATAAAGGGGCGTTTGTTTTCTTTTTCTTAGTAATCCTGTGAAAAAGTCACGATGGTGATGAACTGACTAGTTCAAGCTTCTGGTCGGCCTCGGTGTTTGTAAATACCAGCTTCCTGGACGAGCGCATTGCACCGGTTCTTGAAACGAGATCGCCCTTAGCTTTAGTGATTACTTTATATAAATACGATACTTTGCATTGTCAGGCATCAGTCGTTCATCGAACAACACAGACCACAATGTTCAAGCTGGTGGTGTTGAGTGCTATCTTCGCAGCGGCCGCGGCCGAGCCCGGGTTGATCGCGAAAGCGTTCGGTGTGCCTCTAGCTTACTCCTCGGTGTACACGCCAGGCGTCACCAGCATCTCGCAGCAGGCCAGCAGTGTCGTGCACCCCTCGCCCCCCCTAGTCTACTCGGCTCCGGTCGCCTACTCCCACTTCATCAAGAAACGGTCAGCGCCTCTCGCCTATGTCGCCCCGACGACCTACCTCGCTAACACGCACCTCGCCGCCGCACCCCTGGCGACTACCTACAGCGCTCCTGCCCTGCTCCACAGCGCGCCAATTGTACCAGCAGCTCAACTGAGCTACGCCACGCACTTCATTAAGAAGAGGTCTGCTCCCTTCGTACCAACTACCTACATCGCGCCGACCACATACGCTGCTGCCACGCCTCTTCTGACGTCGACCTACGCTGCCACACCCTTAGTGCACTCCGCTCCTCTGATCTCTCAGCCCATCACCTACTCTCACTTCATCAAGAAGCGTTCGGCGCCTCTGCTCAATGCCTTCGTCGCCCCTTCCTCCTACTCGACCCAGTCCAGGGTTGACGTCCGCACCAGCCCTCTGATCTCCACCACCTACACTTCCCCGATTGCCTACTCAAGCCCCATTGCTTACACCCACGTGTACTGAAGCGTTTGATTTGGAGGTGTTTGACGTCTGAACACGCATTTTACAGTGAATTCAAAATTTGTCACATGCTCACATAGTGTCTATTGTACATACACCTAAGTTTGATCTTAAAAAACAATGTCAATAAACAGATTTTGAAGATATAATTGCATTATTTACTTACATTACTTTTACCGAAGCATTACTCTCATGAATCCTACTTACCTACCTAAAGCTAATCAATTCTTATATTAATTTTATATATCCACATTTTAGTTTTACATTACCATGTTCATTTATCTGCAACATAAACATTTTTGAACTAGCTACTCAAATTTTCTGATTGACTTAAAAGTTGACTGGGAGAGAATACTACAAGGCATGTACTCTGTCCAATCTGCAGTTTTAAATAAATAAACATCTGTCGACTCTTAAATAATCAGGTACTACTTAAATCCTAAATACAATATGCAATATAAGTTAGATACCAGATCTAACACCGCTACGTAACCTACCCTTCATTTCCATTGACAGACATTTGGAAGAGCGATGTTGACGTGATTACGGCCTGTAGCGATGGATTCGAAGGAATAAATGTTTCACGTCGAATCAGGTTACAGGAGCCAACACATAACCTACTTACCCACTAGGATGAAATGAATCCAATTTTATTACGTCATCATTAAACTATTGATGTCGGGAACGAATCAAAAACAAAACAGTATTAAAAATATAAACTTTATTATTTGTAAAATGTTCTCTAATATAACTTACAAACTATGAGAATCTGATGGGCAGGCTGAATGTTTTATAAACATACTTATTTGTCTTTAATTTTTAACACACACACAATATCATGTTTTCAATAAATATAGGTACCTACTCATATTTAACTAGCAACTAATACAATTTATTATGATTCGTTTTCGATGACGATAATTTTATCTTGAGGCTCGGTTGTCACACTTTCACTATACACTTCAACATTTTGAGAGTCATTATTGTCCGAAATTATGTTATCACTTACTTTTTCTATCACCATAGCTTCCTCTGTGTTTATTTCTGGATCACCTTGGGGTAAATTGTCGACGTTTTCCTCCTCTTGTTTCTTGTAGGTGTCGTCCACTATGTCAATTGATATTGGGTGTTGTAAAGCTCTCGCTAGAGGCAGGTTGTGGTAAAAGCTGAACGCTATAGGTGTGAACACTGTATCCGATGCAAGTACCGGTGTAAATAAGGTTTCGCTTGCAACTCCTTTGGGCTGGCTTGAGAACACTGGGCTGTATATCAGCGGGGTTGATACAACTGCTGGGGAGTGCTTGATGTCGATTCTGGATTGATGTGAAACTGCACTGGGTGCTGCGTATATGAGCGGTGCGACATGACTGTGCACTTTGGAGATGACACTGACGACAAAAAGTGTTCTAAGCATTTTGCTGGATAATGCAGCGGGGTCGGCAGACGGTGTAGTTTTATAGCCGAGTAACGGTAGTGGATGCGGTCGCACTGCAGACGCGCGGTTCAAGTTCTCGGCCGGGTTGCGTAATCGCCGGGGCACTGGCCGGATTGAGATTGCATTATGAATACGTCACTCATCAATATTAATGATTGATGCGCACTGCCGGCTTGTTTTTGAGAGTATGTGATATCGTTATTTATCTTATTATGCAAGATACTTGAGGCATCATCTTTTCTTTAGTTATTGTTTGATACAAAAAAAGTTATATTAGAACTTCATTAGAGTGGTAGACAATTGTATTTCATTCATTATTTTACTTGGTCAATAAATCTTCATTTCCTGGTTAAGCACTGCCTGTTTTTAGCGGGTAAACAACAAATAAAAAATATCAATTAATATAATAAAGTTTTTTACTATTGAAAGTTGTCGGCTTGATTTTTAATTTATTACAATCGGAAAGATAACAAGTCCTTTTAAAAAATCAATATATTTTTTGTTACCAATCCAAATAACTACATAACTGGTTTGCCAGACATTTATTACCTCCTAATATAATTTTCCCAGACTACTTTTGATTGAAGTTAGTTTAATGAATCTATTTATTGCTTAGATATAAAATATTGGCATGGTTTCAAACAAGCTAATTGTCTAGTCGTTAAAAAGTATAATATAACAACGATCTTAGATGATAAGCAGAACCAGTTAGACTTTCAGGGCGGACTTGCCGAAATTACTGTGTTTGGACTTTGGTTATTTTCCTGACAGTGCCCAACGAGATGTACCCATCCAACCCATTATGCTAGTTGCATGTCTAACGGCGGATCCTACTAATATTATAAATGCGAAAATTTGGATGTCTGGATGTTTGTTCACGCAAAAACTACTGAACGGATTTTGATTAAACTGTACAGTATTATTATTTATAACCCAGAATAACATTATAGGCTAAAATTTATGACGATCTGTGACAAACTAAATTTCACGCGGGTAAAGCCGCGGGCAAAAGCTAGTTCTCAGTAACTCTTAGCATTTCTTTGTAAATTCGTATAGGTACTACCTACTTGATTATCACTTATCAGTATTTTGACAATGATGTATTTTGGTAGATCTTATCGACTCATTTCGAAACAAAGAGAAAGTTGTTGAAATTATTATTACTCACCATTTTCCAATAAATAAATTAGTAAACATTTATGAATTCACATACCTACATAAATTCGATCGAACTTATTTAAGCCTATTTGAATAAATAAGATATTTTTATGGACGACAAAAACTAAATTTACTTTTTGTCACCAAGCGTGTTCAATAGCGTAACGAATTCAATAATAGAACTAAATCCTGTCACTCTGATTCATACATAGTATAAGAAGGTGTCTCCCGAGGTGTCAGGCATCAGTCAACTGTGTCACCAGCAAAATGTTCAGATTCGTGCTGTTTCTGTGCTGCGCCGCCCTGTGCCAGAGTCACGCAATATTACCGCTGGTCGCGCCTGTTGCCCATTCGATCCACGTTCCGCTAGTGGCACCGTATGCACACGGTTACGGGCACGGCCTCTGGGGTCACGGCTTCTTGGCGAAACCACTAGGGCATCACATTCTGAAGCGGTCGCCACACATCGTTGAGCCCCTCGCTCACGGTCATTTGGGACATGTAGGCCATGTTGCGCCACTGGCATATGTGGCCCCGGTGGCTCACGCAGCTCCGGTCGCAGTATCTCACCACTCTCGCCTGGATGTCCACACCACACCTGTGGTCAAGCAAGTCATCGCCCCAGTAGTTGCTGCTCCTCTGCTGCATAAACCAGTTCTTGGCGCCCATGGGCTTGGCCTTGGAGCCTACGCCGGGGGGCTTAGCCACTATGCCGGGGGACTTGGCCACTACGCAGGTGAATTCGGCCACTACGCCGGTGGATTTGGACACTACGGTGGACTTGGCCATCATGCCGGTGGATTTGGACATGGATACCATGGACATTACTAGTCAAAACAGAACATATTATTAAATAATTGGCGTGTGCCAGATTTTTCTGTGAACTATTTAGAATTACTTTCTGTACTTTATGCAAATTGTATGTAATAAATTGTTTTAATCGTATGATAATATTTTACTTACATGCTAAATTACAAAGTACGTTTAGGCTTTACTAGAAATTCACTCGATAGTAATTATTATTTCCAATGAAACGTTGCTGAACATGATGATACTCGTATTTAAGTTTTTTTTTTCGGAATGTAGAATTAAAAATTAATTTACTCGTTAACATGCAATTAATCCCTGTTGAATTGAATTAATCCCTGTTGCATGGTTTGATTTAAGAAGTGTGAACAAAACAGACGGAGTAGGAAGATTGGGATTCTTCCTGAAATGTGTTTGTAGCATTACTTCCTGGAATACCAATATCTTAGAAATGTTTTTGCCTCCTCAAAAGGATAGAAAGGTATTGTTTGTTTATTTTGTTGTTTGCAATGAAAATACTGTATTATTTTGTATAAAACAAACTCTATCCCCCTTATTAAGAAAGTTAAACTTGGGACTAACACTGGTTTAAAATAACATTTCCATACTAAATGTTAATTTAAACTAGAGTTCAACCAGAGTCTAACTTTTTGTAATAAGGGGATATATATTTTAATAATTCATTAATTATACAGCTAGGCAGCTTTACAATCTAATTAGATAACTAACTAGCAGACAATTGTTAAACAAATTAGGACTTAGTAGAAGGTACATTCAAAAACAAAAGAAAGGCAGTAAATATTTATAAATCTTTTATTTTGGCAGTGAATTTAAGTATCTAAAACTGATCAGACATCGTTTGTTTCGTTATCGATTCGTTGATTACCAGGGGTGCACGCTCAGGGCTTTGGGGACCACGGCGGAGTAGGCCACGGGGGAGGCCACCACCGGGGCGGAGTAGGCAGACACCACGGGGGATGAGTAGGGGGACACCACTGGGGTTGAGTACGCGGACACAACAGGGGATGAGTACGCGGACACAACGGGAGCAGCGGAGTAACTGGAGACGACAGGGGCGGAGTAGGACACGGGGGCGGCGACCACGCTGTGGGCTACGGGGACGGCGCTGTAGGACAGAGCACCGACGGAACGCTTGCGGAGGTGGTGGGAGGCCAAAGCCTTAGCCTGGTAGTGGGCGGCGCGGGCGGCGACCACCTCAGGGGTGTCGAGGGGCACACCGTTGACGGCGTCGAGGACGACAGCGGGCGAGTGAGGGGCCTGGGCGAGGGCCACGGCGGGGGCCACCACGGAGGAGCTGTAGACGGCAGGGGCGCTGTAGACGGCGGGAGCGCTGTAGACGGCGGGGGCGCTGTACACTGCGGGCACAACTGGGGATCCGTGGACCACGCTCGAGCTGTACTGGGATACGGAGCTCGTGGCGGGAACAGCCGCGCTGTAGGCCACAGGGGCGCTGTACGCCAAAGGCGCCACCAAACCGGGCTTGGCCGCCGCCAAAGCAACAACGGAGAACAACACCACCAGCTTGTACATTGTGGTCTGTGTTGAGTTGTCTGATCGATGAACGAAGATCGACTGATGCTTGGACAGCGCTTAGGGATCCTTTTATACTGACGCTTATCTAATAAGAATAATTGGCTGCCGAAAAAAATGCCACATAGTCACCTTCAAACTACCAGTATGTACGCCTTGATATTCAAAGTAGCATTATTACGGCGAGTTGCTCAAGCATTTTTTTACACGGAAGCTTCCGCAATTATTTGTTATCGGTATTTATATGAAATCCAAGGTGTGCGATTAATAGTCTATGAACCTCACGAAAGTCTTAAAAATAATGGCGTCTATTATTATGGCAGTTAATAACTTTAATGTTTTGTAATTAGGTATGCGATAGCTTTTTTTAGACATGAAAATAATAAAATATTAGGCACTTAAGCAATTTTAATACTCGTAGGTATTTTTTGTGCCATGTACTAAGTGTAGAACTTACAAAATATTAACTTAATAAGTACAAACTTCACCCTCGTTATTTTCAACTTTTCTTAATCAGTATTCCAAAAGTTTCTTCAATTTAGGTCGTTTTATGGTCTGCATACTACTTAGTTTCACAACAACAGCGTCCAGTGAGCTTGTTGTCATGCTACTTGCACTTCAGACATGAAGATGAGATCTGTGATTCTCTACAGTCGATGATTTTGTATAGCAACATTATCTGACAAGTATATACTCGCTTTACCCACTGAAAATTTTTGTAATAATTGCATAATAAAGTAATTACAATTTACAATAAAATTAGGCTTGGGAGAGATAGATCTACTTTTTCAGAAAAAAAAAGCTTGAAAAGGAGGTGAAAGTTTATACATATCCTACTAATACAGGGTGGCCCAGAAGAAAGTTTCTCTTTTGAAAATTCTTGAAAAACTTTTGAAAAGTGCTCCGGTCATAGCCTTGCGAATCTTGCAGCTTTGATATCAAAAAGCTTTTCAGCCTACCAGTATAGCGCTCTCAAAAATTAACTCAAAAATAAACTTCAAAATACGTACAGTAGTTTTTGCGTGAAAGAGTAACAAACATCCAGACATCCAAACTTTCGCATTTATAATACAGGATGGCCCAGAAGAAAATTCACTTTTGTAAATTCAAGGAAACGTAAACTGTACATTTTTAGGAAATTTAGTGCAATTTATTTTAAAATTTACTTTCTTTTATAAATTTTATCGTACATGTGATTCCCTTGACGTATACAACATTAGGTCAACATGCATCAAAATTTTTGAAAACTTTCGTTAGAGTTACCTCGAAATGGATTCAGGATGAATAAATGCTGCGAGTTTTTGGATTATGAGAGTATACTCTNAATAAACTTACAAAATAATAACTTAATAAGTACAAACTTTACCCTCGTTATTTTCAACTTTTCCTAATCAGTATTCCAAAAGTTTCTTCAATTTAGGTCGTTTTATGGTCTGCATACTACCTTAGTTTCACAACAAAAGCGTCCAGTGAGCTTGTTGTCATGCTACTTGCACTTCAGAGATGAAGATGAGATTTGTGATTCTCTACAGTCAATGATTTTGTATAGCAACATTATCTGACAAGTACCTACCTATACTCGCTTTACCCACTGAAAACTTTAGTAATAATTGCATAATAAAGTAATTACAATAAAATTAGGCTTGGGAGGGATAGATCTACTTTTGCCGTCAAAAAAAAGCTTGAAGAGATTGAGTACAAAAAAAAAGCCGTTTAATTAAACAACTTGTTCTAACATCTTCAAGTAACAATTACTTGTACTCAATCGCATCTAGTAACTTACAAACTTCGCCATAACTTTTCTACGTTATGTAAGTACATACATTAAGCGTTCAATATAAAAAGTAAATAATGAAAGGACTTAATGTACCTACTCAAATAGTTACGCAAATCAGGTATTATGATAAAATTATAAATAATATCCTATTAAATATGGATTTACTTAAATAACCTCGGAGAGTAAATTAACATTTGCTACCAACAGGATTCAAATCCGCAACTGCTACTGTAGGTAGGTGCGGTATGTGAATCACCTAACTAGAATGTTTACGATGTAGTATCATTACGTATTATGGGATAATACGCTATACCATACCTTAAACTTTTTTTGATGATTTGACTATTTACAACTAATCTTCTAGTTAAACTTAGTTTCTGACAGGAAATACATTTTCTCCGTTCAGTAGTTATTGCGTGAAAGAGTAATAAACTTCCATCCAGACATCCAGACATCCTGACATACAGACATCCAAACTTTCGCATTTATAATATTAGTAGGATCAGCTTTTCCTGTTGACACTCATTGACATCTGTTTGGAAAGTGCATCGTAAGATAAATGACGTGTTTGGTCACATGAAAAATTATGCCCTCTCTCGTTCCTACTACAGCATTTTCTATGTAGGCAGCTTCAGCTAGTCGCTCAGCAAAAAATCTCATCCAGTTTAGGTCACGTTTGTGCAACGAAATTAATCGAAAGGTAAAAGTTGTAAAAGTTTGTGACTAAGGACTCCACTTACAGTGCAAAGAATTTCTAATTAGGTGGACTAGGTGGACCGACGATCTGGTAAAGGTCGCGGGAAGAGCCTGGATGCGGGCAGCGCAGGACCGTGCATTGTGGAAAACCTTGGAGGAGGCCTTTGTCCAGCAGTGGACGTCATTTGGCTGAAACGAACGAACGAACAGGAATGTGTTCATTGACTTTTTGTATGCGTCTGCGTCATGAATTACCTATAGAATAGAATAGATATTAGGTACTTGTTGAGAAATCATAATCTAAGGTATCTAAGTAATGAATGAAAAATAATCTTTTTTTAATAAATTTTATTTATTATTTACACGACTGTTTCTCAGTCATTTGTCAGTTCTGAACCGAGGAGCTGAGCTCCTCGCTTCCGTAGTGGCGCTCACCATGGGTGCACGCTGTTAGCCTTCAGGATGGGGGATGAGTAGGTTTGGACAAGGGGAGCCGAGTGCACGACGGGGGCAGCCGAGTAGGTGGTGATCGCGGGAGACGACACGTAGGTGGTCAAAGCTGGAGCAGCGATGAGAGGAGCTGACCGCTTGTGGATGAGGTGAGCACCAGCCAGAGCCTTAGCCTGAAAGTGAGCAGCACGGGCGGCGATGACCTCAGGTGTGTCGAGGGGCACAGAAGGAGCGGCGATCGCAACAGGTGCGGCGATGGCAGCAGGAGCAGGGTAGACGGCTGGAGCAGCGATGGCAGCAGCCGCGATGGGTGCAGACGCGTAAGTGCTCACTACAGCTGGGGAGGATTTGATATCAATGCGGGACTGGTGCGACACAGCGGCAGGAGCGGCGATGGCTGCGGGCGCGGCGTAGGCAACTGGGGCGGCGATGGCGGACTTGATGACAGTGGGTGCGGCCAAAGCCAATCCAGGAGCAGCAATGGCGGCGGTGGCGATCGGAGCAGACGCGTAGGTCGTGATCGCGGGAGATGCCACGTAGCTGGTCAAAGCTGGGGCCGCGATGAGAGGAGCCGACCGCTTGTGGATGAGGTGGGCACCAACCAGGGCGGGAGCGGCGATAGCGGCAGGAGCCGCGTAGAACGCCGGAGTCCTTTTATAAATTTTATCGTACATGTGATTCCCTTGACGTATACAACATTAGGTCAACATGCATCAAAATTTTTGAAAACTTTCGTTAGAGTTACCTCGAAATGGATTCAGGATGAATAAATGCTGCGAGTTTTTGGATTATGAGAGTATACTCTGCTCATAAGGTAACCCCACAAAAAGAAGTCTGCTGGAATGAGATTAGCGCTTCTTAGAGGCTGTGAGATTTCACCCCTGCTTAATTGGTTTGTTGCATTGAAAGGATGATTAATTTTTGAGAGCGCTATACTGGTAGGCTGAAAAGCTTTTTGATTTCAAAGCTGCAAGATTCGCAAGGCTATGACCGGAGCACTTGGTTTCATCAAGATGGGGCTACGTGTCACACTTCAAATGAGATCATTTAGATGGTAAGAGACATGTTCCCTCAAAAAAATAATTTCAGGCAGGGGTGACATCTCCTGGCCACCAGGAAGCCCTGATCTCACTCCAGAAAATTCTTTTTTGTGGTGTTACATTAAGAACAGAGTATACTTTTATAATCCAACAACCATGCAGCAACTGAAGCTGAGCATTCGGCCAAAAATTGAAAATAGGTTTCGAGGTAATTCTAACGAACGCATTTCAAGATTTTGATGTATGTTGATCGAATGTTGTAAGCGTCAAGGAAACCTCCTGGGCGATGTAATTTAATAAAGGTAAATTTAAAAATAAATTGCATTAAATTTCCTTTAAATTGCAATAGTTAAAGTTCTATAAAAATGTACAGTTTTCGTTTCCTTGAATTTTCAAAAGTGAACTTTCTTCTGGGCCACCCTGTATTTTATCACTAGCGGCCGCCCGCGACTTCGTACGCGTGGACCTCGTTTTACCCCCTTAGTTCGTAAAATCTGTTGATAGATGGCGTGTCACGGCTTCCCCCGCATGAATATTTACGAACGTCAAACCAGTCAAACACAGTAGTTTTTCCACCAACACCAATTACGATAGATGGCGTTTTTTAGATATGTATTATTTATTTATTGAAATTTATTTGTCACATAACGTCATAAATAATAGCCTATTTATTCTGGGTTATAAAAAATAATACTGTTAGGTTTCATCAAAATCCGTTCAGCAGTTTTTGCGTGAAAGAGTAATAAACATCCATCCAGACATCCTGACATCCAGACATCCAAACTTTCGCATTTATAACATTAGTACGATCAGCTTTTCCTGTTGACACTCATTGACATCTGTTTGGAAAGTGCATCGTAAGATACGAGTAAATGACGTGTTTGGTCATATGAGAAATTATACCCTCTCTCAGCCCACTACAGCAATTTCTATGTAGGCAGCATCAGCTTATCGCTCCACAAAAAATCTCTTTCAGTTTAGGCCACGTCTGTGCCACGAAGTTTTCGTGCAACGAAATCAATCGGAAGGTATAAGTTTGTGGCTAAGGACTCCACATATAGTGCAAAGAATTTCTCTCTTTCTTTCATGATAGACACTTTTACAATGCCCATATTGATAAGTACGTGCAATAGGAATATGTTAATTGACTTATTGTAGGCATTTTAGAGCTTTTAACTACCTACAGCTACGTGAGTCATAAATTACCTATAGGTAGGTATTACTTGTTTAGAAATCATAATCTAACTAAGGTATCCAATGAATGAAAAATAATATTTTTTAATAAATTTTATTTATTATTTACACGTCTGTTTCTCAGTCATTTGTCAGTTCTGAACCGAGGAGCTGAGCTCCTCGCTTCCGTGGTGGCGCTCACCATGGGTGCACGCTGTAAGCCTTCAGGATGGGGGACGAGTAGGTTTGGACGAGGGGAGCCGAGTGCACCACGGGGGCAGCCGAGTAGGTGGTGATCGCGGGAGACGACAAGTAGGTGGTCAAAGCTGGAGCGATGAGAGGAGCTGACCGCTTGTGGATGAGGTGGGCACCAGACAGAGCCTTAGCCTGGAAGTGAGCAGCACGGGCGGCGATGACCTCAGGTGTGTCGAGGGGCACAGAAGGAGCGGCGATCGCAACAGGTGCGGCGATGGCAGCAGGAGCAGGGTAGACGGCTGGAGCAGCGATGGCTGCAGCCGCGATGGGTGCAGACGCNTTTTTGTTACATATTGTATAAATCCGTCTTCAGGTCGCCACAGAACAAGGCCTCGCGAAATCTGTCTTGCCCACATCAAATTTAGGTCTTGCCCCGCCTCTGGGTTTTCCTCCCTGACGCTATAACTCCAGAACGCACGAACCGATTTCCACGGTTTTGCATTCGTTGGAAAGGTCTCGGGCTCCGTGAGGTTTATAGCAAAGAAATGTAGTCCACGCGCGCGAAGCCGCGGGCGGAAAGCTAGTTATGTTATGAAAACAGAGATGTTTTGGCACTAAATAAATAAAATTAATCAAAAATAATAATTAATCGAGCGTTCAATAGGTTGCAGCAATAATTTCAATTGTATAGATTTAAGTGCAGAGTTTTTCAGTACTGTACTGGCCCACTTATTTTTAAGCAATATAACTATTCAGTAAGTAATATATCTGTGGAGCGTGTAGAAACACTTTTTAAAATCTTATTTTGCAGAAAATAAATTACCTCTATGCATTTCAGTATTCCGTTTTTAACTCTTTTCGCATGATATGTACTGTTGAAATCAGACTGCACTGAAAAAATGTTTAGTTACTGCCTACACAAAAAAAGTTACTTGCGAACTGAGTGTTAACCTGTAATCAAACCAGTAGGCCTACGATGCGCGCCGTGATAACTTTTATCGACGTAAAAATGTATGGGCAAAATCGATAAAATGGCGTGATAACCGTTTATCGCGGCGCGCATCTTAGGCTTACAGGTTTAGCTCACTACAAAATAGTTTGTTTAATTTACACAACATTTTATTACTCATAACCAAAATTAGTAGTTACTACCTAGTAACTTCCAGTTCGAAAATAGTAACGAAACAATTTTTTTCAGTGCACATATTTTTGTGGTTTACCTACCTAAAGTAGCGCTTTATTACTTCATAAGATGTGACAGACTTTAGCTTGATGTGCTGCCGTTATTATGCCTTTTATTAGTTTCATTAAAAAGAGCTCTAGTACAAATAAAACGGAGAGCTTTTTTCTTTTGCATTTTATAATATTATAGAGATTAAATGTGATCAGTCATTATCTATTCAAAATACCTACTCTACCTATATCGTATAGGTGAATTTAACATCAAAAAGCTATACTTACACAAAATATGGATAGTATTATGATTCCTGGAGGAATAGTAATCACACCTAGGTACATCCCTGGTACAAGGTAGGTGTATGGCCTAATAAAATTGTAGAGGTTGCAAAGATACGACCAAACTCCTTGGCCGCTCGTTTGGCCGGCGAGAAACTTCTTCTTAATTTTTTATTCTTTTACGATTGTGACTTTTTTCTTTTCCCCTTGTCTTCTTAACACGAATAAAATAATGTAATTTGATTTTTTTTTTCATTTAGCCTTTCAATCAGTATAATCTCTCATAGTGTCGGTGACGTATTTCGTTCAGTAGCAGTAAATCTGCTACTGAACGAAATACGTCACCGTAGCAGATTTAATTCAGCCAATGAAAAAATCAACTTGTTTGAGGTATTATTTTAGTCATACTTCATGTGTTTACCAATTTACTGAAGAAAATTACTTTTTGGCATAAATCTTTTTCTTAATATGAAAATTCTTAGGTGTAATGTCATACACATCGAACCCGCCGACGCGGCGACGCGGCGTGGCGACATGAGTCATCGACTTTTGACAAGTTATTGAAAGTTAACTAAGTAAAAAGGATTCTTTTGAAATAAAGCCGCCGGGTTTGGTATGAAAAGATTCATAGTTTCTACTTTTCATAAATTACATTTAGAATCTATTTGATGTTATTCCAAAACCAATAATATTTAACTCTTAACTTCTTTGTACAGTTAGGTACTATCAATATCCTTGTAACTCATAAGTTCGAGTATTTTATTTGTAGGTATGTTCATAGGAATGATAAAGTAAGAAAGGTATTTTTAAACATTTTTTATTTATTTAATATTTACAAGCCTGTTTCTCAGTCATTTGTCAGTTCTGAACCGAGGAGTTGTACTCCTCGCTTCCGTGGTGGCGCTCACCATGGGTGCACGCTGTAAGCCTTCAGGATAGGGGAAGAGTAGGTTTGGACGAGGGGAGCCGAGTGCACCACGGGGGCAGCCGAGTAGGTGGTGATCGCGGGAGACGACACGTAGGTGGTCAAAGCTGGAGCAGCGATGAAAGGAGCGGACCGCTTATGGATGAGGTGGGCACCAGCCAAAGCTTTAGCCTGGAAGTGAGCAGCACGGGCAGCGATGACCTCAGGTGTGTCGAGGGGGACAGCAGGAGCGGCGATCGCAGCAGGAGCGGCGATCGCAGCAGGAGCGGCGTAGACAGCTGGAGTAGCGATGGCGGCAGTGGCGATGGGAGCAGACGCGTAAGTGCTCACTACAGCTGGGGAGGACTTGATGTCAATGCGGGACTGGTGCGACACAGCGGCAGGAGCGGCGATGGCTGCGGGCGCGGCGTAGGCTACTGGGGTGGCGATGGCAGCAGCGGCTATGGGAGCAGACGCGTAAGTGCTCACTACAGCTGGGGAGGATTTGATGTCAATGCGGGACTGGTGCGACACAGCGGCAGGAGCGGCGATGGCTGCGGGCGCGGCGTAGGCAACTGGGGCGGCGATGGCGGACTTGATGACAGTGGGTGCGGCCAAAGCCAATCCAGGAGCAGCAATGGCGGCGGTGGCGATCGGAGCAGACGCGTAGGTCGTGATCGCGGGAGATGCCACGTAGCTGGTCAAAGCTGGGGCCGCGATGAGAGGAGCCGACCGCTTGTGGATGAGGTGGGCACCAACCAGGGCGGGAGCGGCGATAGCGGCAGGAGCCGCGTAGAACGCCGGAGTCGCGATGGCAGCGGTGGCGATGGGTGCCGACGCGTAGGTGCTCACTACAGCTGGAGATGATTGGATGTCAATGCGTGACTGGTGCGATACAGCTGCAGGAGCAACGATGGCTGATGGAGCCAACAGAAGGCCACTCGGCGAGGCTGCGGCCAACGCCACCACGGAAAGCAACACCACCAGCGAGTTCATCGTGGTCTGTGTTAGTTCAGATGCAAACAACGAGCGAATGAGACTGTGCTTTCTTCAAGTTAACGTATGTATTTATACCACTCGCGATCCAGTCTGAGAAAAGTCAAGTTCAACGGGTTTCCTTAGTCATCGCGCTGTAAATCTGTTAACATAAAGTGCATGTTGCAATATCACTCTGAAATTTCACTATAAAGTTATCCTTACACACACATCGGTCTGACGTAGGGTCTTGATAGTGAAAAAAAACTAAATTAACATCATGAATGCGAAAGTTTCTCGTTAAGTTCTACTGATCTTTATGTTTTTTGCCTAAAATATTCAACCAATATTGATGAGTTTTGTTACGAAGATAAAATAGATTTGATGCGTAGATTGAGATAGATAACTTTCAACTATAGGATACATATAAAATATTTCAAAATATTATTATGTACCTAGCCTCGAAATTGGTTACCAAGCAAGTGACTATTATGGGGAATAACTATAGAATTAGAAAGTTTTTAACATATTTATTGTTAACTCGATTTGATGTTGTGTGCACTTGTCATTGGAGCTGCAACAAGTCCTAAAATTAAATACTTTGTTCTCTGACTGTTATTTTATGGTACTTATCTCTTGCATCAAATCAATAAAAATATTGAATAAAAAATCGGTACCTAAAGGTTAGCCTACTTTTTACCTTAAAACAAAAATGGAGATGATAATTTATTTAAAACTTCTATGCACATGAAAAACAGTACATACGACGAATTAAATAAGGCTGGGTTGCACCATCTTACTTTAACTATAACAAATCTGTCAAACTCTGTAAAACACCGGTTATGGTGATATAATTAGGTACTGTTAAACTTAGATGGTGCAACTCAGCCTAAAATACCTAGCTTATCTCAGATTAGGGAAATAAAAATATACATCACGAACACATGAAGCACGATTATTACTTCTTGAGCCAAAATTCAGCCATAATCAGACACAAAATTAAGCAACAACACGGTTTTAAGTGACGAACATTATTCTTTGGCGCAATATTCCTTTAAAAATAATCACTGAATCAAGAAATCAGAAACTGTCAATGTATAGACCTTTGACCCTTTTTTTTATTATTTCATTATACAGGGTGTTTCTTGTAAGGTGTCAAGCCGAAGGCAGGTGATAGGTGAGGACTAGACCTATCGATTTCACCCCCATGTATGTTCAACGATTTTTCGTAGTTTAGAAGTTATCGTTAATTTTGTGATTTTTTCAAATTTCATGACCTAGTGGCTTAATTTTTTTTTTATCTTTTTTTTGGGTTGACTTTTCTCAGATTTCTNAATCTGTTATCGTAAGGTGCATGTTGCAATATCACTCTACAGTTTCACTACAGATCCTTACACACACACGGGTTCTACGCATGTTCTTTTTTATAAATGACATTTAAAATAGTGCACGATTAGCTAGTTTAACAGAAGTATTTGAAATTTTCCTAAAACCTACCTTTGAAAATAAATCTATTACAGGCTTTTTATTTCGTGCCTAAGTAATAATTACTGGGGCAGTTAAGCCTCCGAGTCATTGACCCTTCTTAGGTACACTTGCCGAGAATAGATGTGTGCCCGGAGTTATATTATAATAATGATTAATGAGTCCAACTAGGCCCTAAGTCGGGAACGGTCCAAATTGAATGTCTTTCTTCACATCCAATTTATATTATTCAATCAGATTAACAAAGAGCAGGTAACTAGTCGTTTATTGACCTGATTTTAATTATGTTTCCTATATTGAAACAAAACACCCAGGTTCATCATTTCTAATGATTGATAACAATTATTTCACCACCTTAATTTTGGCGAGAGGAGCTAGTAAGTATTCATTGTGTGTCAATCAAATCTATTAAAAATAATAATATCAAAATTGGATCAGTAGTTTAGGTGTGATATTATGTATATTGATGGTATTACTTTTAGATTGATGGTATTACTTTTAGATTATATTCAGTTACATTAGAGGCAATATTAATATTAAATCTTTATAGTATTTTTTATCATAAAGTAAAATCGAAATCGATAAATGTCCGATAAGTCATTTTGTAAAAAAATTGAGTTGCCCAGTAACTTGACGGGAACCGGCTCAAAAAGTACATAGAATAATGTCCGTGTATAAAAAGACATAAAATATGTAAGTAATTCAAGTCGCAGAGCCAGTCATTACATAAAAAAGGTGCCTTTATTTTTTGCTATAGTGCTCGATTAAGCGAAATGTTAAGGTTTGAATGGCCTTGGATTCGCTTTCATACAAGTCCACGACGGACAGCTGGGTGTAAATTTACCTTAACATTGTAGAGATGATACAACCACTTTCGTTTGTTTTAATCTCAACTTATATCACACACTAGTTGTGATATAAGTTCAATTTCAAGAACAAAACAAGGCTTTTGAAAACAGAAATTGGCTACAGAAATAAGAGCATCTATGTACGTACCTACTATGTAAAATTTATGACAGAGTTGAATCGATATCGTAACAATCTAATCTAAGCATGCATAATATAAGTCCTTGAATATAATACAGGGTATCCCAAAAAGTAGTGTCAAGCCGAAGCCCAGAGGTAGAGCATCACTAGGGATATCCAAATCACCCCCATGTACGTTCCGCGATTTTTGATAGTTTTCGAGTTATGATTATTTTAAAATCTGTGATTAGGCACTTTTTTGGTCACTGTGGCGCGAATAGTCAACTTGCATGCCTGATTTTTTTATTATTATTAGATGAATACTAAGCCTAGCTGATACAGAAGCATTTACATCCATAACACGAATGTAAACCAAAATCCTGTATGTTGTAAAAAAAAATCATAACTCGAAAACTATCAAAAGTCACGGTGATTTGGGTAGCCCTGGTGATGCTCTACCTCTGGGCATCAGCTTGACACTACTTTTTGGGACACGCTGTGTATTAACTACAGTTTCATATGCAAACTTGTGACAATGTAATAATTTAGTACCAAAAAGTAAAATAATACTAGGACTGTTTCCAACCTTATGTTTCTACCTGTGATCATTACGTTATTTACCTTTCTTTATTCAAACTTTTAAAGCTAATTGTTATACTCTTACGGTTGTATCAGCTCTAGCAATATATGTATCAGAGCACTGAGGTGCTACATAAAGTGGCATGCGGAATCCAGCGGCCCTTAAATGGAGCTGGTCGTATCTACCAACTGTTGTCTCGTACTGGTATTATAATTCTGGTTGGAGAGCTTAATATAATTATTTATCAGCGACCCTATAGACTTTAAAAGACAACCCGTTTTCTGTGGGAATATCCGACACCGTAAACAATGCCCATCGATATTTTACGCTTATATTTTTAGATTGAGACTTGTTTATCTACAATGGGTACGGATATAAATTATGATAATTAGGTCCCGCTAACGCGATGGGCAGTAGGCGTCAATAATTCAATTTGATTTGTATTTGAGCAGCCGTAATGGTAAACATTTTTCGCAACAAATAATAAATACTGAATCTCACTGTTGATCTGGCGGTTGCTAAGCCTGATCGCTTGAGTGCCACGGTTTGATTTCATTAGTAGAGGTGATTTCAGTAGATAGAAAACTGTTAGAGCGTGATGAACATGATTTTACCCCGGCCCATGGGCCAATGATTGTCTACTAAAAACATTATGAGAAGGTGCAGAAATAAAACAGTTTATAAAACAATACTATTACATTTATTATCCAAACGCAAGGGCATAACATTCCAACTCGTTAGAGTTAGACTTTTGCTCTACTATCATTCTGAATTTCTTATTGCTATATAAATAAATATTTGATTATTGACTGTTGCACTCGGGTTGGGCCCAGATGGTGTAGGCCTGGGTAATGGGGCCTGGGCTGGCCGGGTGGGGCTAGCGGGCCTAGGAGGCAGCTCACCAGGCGTGGCCGTAGGGCGCTGCGATCACGGGAGCGTGGGCAGCCACGGCATACTGGGGCGCCACAGCCACAGCGGGGGAAGCGATCTGGAACAACAGAGAGAGAAAATAATTTATTTGGTTCAAACACAGTTTATCACAGCGAATGCAGCCCCACTCATCGTGTGTCATGCTCTATAGAACATGACGCTGGTATTCTGGAGAAACAATTTGTTTTGAGATTATTTAATATTAATGAGTAAAAGACATAAAGTAATTAGTTTAGTATAATTAATTAGTTAGCATTAGTTTGTTAAATGCAAATTATAAATAAGGCCATTTTAGTAGTAGGTTTTACACTTTTACAGTATATTTTAAACCTACTTTAGCTTCGAGCCAACAGGGTGATCCGTCAGATGTCCTGACATCAAAGAATCCTCATAGAAATCCATATTCCATGGAAAAACAGGACTTCAGTTTTCACGAATTCGAAACGTTTCCAGGAAACTTTTCCTCTCTTCACAACAAACAACGGCTGCAGGGGCACGTGTTTCCAAAATGTTTGAAAGGTACATAAAAATAATTTACAAAGATAAATAGCACAATGCTTTTGAAGTTATGATTGATTTCAACCAGATATTGATAAAGTTCTTTCGGAAGTGTTATTTTCCAAAACAGTCAAAATAACTTTTCCTTTTGCGTTCAAACAGGTTCAAAATAAGGTTTACATACCCTGACAGAGTTAGCGTAGGAGGTGGCCACTGGCACCGCAGCCTTGACGATTGGGGCGCTCACTAGGGGGGCGCCGACGATGCCGTGGCCCCATGGGGAGACGGGGGCGGCCAGGCCTCCGTAGATGCCGGGGGCGGCCAGGCCTCCGTAGATTCCGGGGGCGGCGGCGGTGACGGCCAGGACAGCGGCGAATACGACCTGGAACCACATACGCTACCGTAAATGGACGTCCACAATAGGTACATACTTATACTAATTTAGTAAACGATACATTTTTTGCCTTTACTTGAGTGAAAGTGTTCCTATTTGATCGATTCAGGTAAGAACTAAGATGTATCTTATTATTATCTTGGTGCCCGATTTTATGAGCAGCTATATAAGCCAGATTCGTGTTTTTTATCACCAGTCAATCAGAATTAATTTATGCCTGCACTTGTTAACTCAACTCTGAACAACTGAACATAGTGATTTTCCACTTTGTGCCCCATCAGAGAATCAAACCTTAGGACCTTTTGAGGGAGTTTAACTCACTAACCAAGCACGAAGTCGTCAGTCATATTAATAATTTATCATCTGTGAGTCAATTTCTCGTTTAATTAAATTAACCAGTTTTACCACCATGTATTACCCAACGATTTAAATGTTAATCTTTAAATAATCGCTCTGATATATGGACAGCAGGAAATTGAATATACTGAAAGCTTTTTAGATGCAGCTTTCATATTATCCGTGTATCTACATCCTTCTACTAACAGGAAAATAATAAAGCATAACCAAGTACAGATTCATCTAAAGTGCAATCTATAGGAAATCTAATACGTAATTGAATTAGCTGATATTATCTTTTTGTGCTAAAGTTTATGCCTAAATCTATGGTCAGAATGAAAAACAGTTTACTTAAGGTCAATTCCCCCAAGAAAGCAACAAATATCTTTTCAAAGGGCATCATGTTTCTTTTAAATGTCAATTGGTTTGTTTAAAAGTTTATCATCTGAACAAAATAATGAACATACGAGTAAAAGTTACAAACATTGAATCAAAGCTCCATAACAAAAAGGTATTTATAAGCTTAACATTCTTTTTATGTGAAGAAAATTGAAGATTGTTTAACTCAACAACTTCGTGGTTCAAGTTAAAACAATTTAACTTATTACGTACCTACTTACGTCAACGTCATATTACCTTAATAGATGAAAAGAAAATAAATATGGAATATGTGTAGAAAGGAATTTCTATTTTAAGTTACTTATTAATTTGATAAATTTTAGAAACATTCATAGTTTACAGATGCGTTAAAGTTTGATATTAATTAAATTATTATAATGTTGAACGCATACATGTAGTCTAAAATACACAATCGTAATGTAAGTACATTTGTAAACTTATTTCTAAAATATCTAAACTTATAAAATTACACCATACAAAAAATATTTCAGAGAAAAGGGCTGTGCTATTAGCATATTATATTCTGAATCCTATTATATTTTGTCAACGGCAAACGGCTGAACCTATATTTAGCGCGTATCTTTTGAAGATCAAAGCTAATTGATGGATTATATCTGTATCAGTTAAATAAATTACTATAATTTATTTAGATTCGGGGTATGAGTCGTTTCTTAAGTAATCACATCAAACTTACAATGATACTCAGTAACAACATATGTTTTAGGGAATCAGGGTTTTGTGGTGGGTGGTTACAAAAAAATATATAAGACTATGTAAGAAGTAACTATACCTAGACCGGTATCTAGTTGGGCTATAATCAATTCCTTTCTAACTGGACCAGTCCGAACAATCGCAAGGCACCACCAGTACTTGACATAGATACTTATTGCACCAGATGTCCTTTGGTTTCTGACCAGTTATTCTTATAGACCTAAATATTTCTACTGTGTGGGTAATCGCTATGAACCAATTCGGGTTCGTAATCTATGTCCATTTCAAGAATTACTGCGCCAGTTATTTTATGTTCGATGTAAGAAAATTCTTAACAACATTTGTGTTGGTTTTACTAGCATGCTGCGTAGGCTTCGCTCAAAAGCATACACATAGAATTTATATCTGGAAAACTATTAATAGTTAACATAAACCTTTTTCATTCATTAGCCAATCTATAAGACAAAAGTATATTCAAAGTCAAGAATATAGTTTCTAAAAGATTTAGCGGGCTAATTTCATTTAATACCTGTCACCAATGCATATTACAGCTGCCTTTGATTAATGCGCAAAAATGTACTCACCAAACTTCAATTTAAGAATACTTGTAATAAAATTATATTTTTTACTGAGTAACTAGCTATAAAATGCGCTCAGCATTTATTAGACCAGTTATCCTTAGTAACACGGGCAAGGATTGTTTCCAATACACGTGGAAATGGACACCTTTGTCTATGAAATTATCATTGACTATTCCAAATTTCCTATGTCCCTTCCCACAGTTACCGTAACATAATTCAATCCACAGTTCATCCGAATACACGAGTTAAATAATTAAATAGTGGGGTCGTAGAACCCATTTCAAGGAAACGTTGTTAATTAAAGAATTTCGTACTTTTCGTAATGATTACTTAATTTGGGTCAAATGCTCATTTTTTTTATAAGTACATAGGTACCTACCTTTTTTAATCGCGAATAACAACCAATGAAACCTTTCATGCAAATGATATCACCTCATTTCGCCATAGAGACCTACAAAACATTTATTATGCGATGAAAGAAAATAGAACGTTCCGTTATTCACAAAATCTATAAAGGGATTTGTGAAGTCGGTGAATAATTGCCGCCTTTTGGGAAACGATAAACAAGTTGTTTGTTTGAATTTTATGGGTGATAAAATAAAGGACGTCAAATGCATCGATAGAGATCAAAGGTGACATATTTCAGTGGCTTGTGCTAGCTTTTTCGCGATGAAAACATGTTTTTGTCTAAACATATTTTTCAAACCCTTTGATGGAATAATTATAAGGAATAACGTTCAGAAAGGGCCTCTTTATGTTAATTCAAACCGACATGTGTCGTGATAGCTTAGCAATCTACACAATATTATTTGCTTTATAATTTTGTTTCTGAATGTACTTATTTGCTATCAGTTTTAGGGTGTTTGCGTATTGATGTGAGATTGCTACAAGAAGTACTTACGAGTACTTAGAGCAAATGAGTTTTCGGAACTTATTATAAGTATTTCAATTAACTGTGCCATTGTAAAAATACAAGGGCATTTTTTTAAGTACGAATAATTAACCTTACAGTCATTATGGCATTTATTTCTCATGGGATAAAAAATATAAGCCCGATGAACATAATTGAAAATTCAGAGTGCAATCGCTTGCTACATGGGTCAATTAACACTAGAAAGGCCGCCGTCCCATTTTTGTCCCACTCGCGAGTTTGATCGTCTCTAACTTTTTTATTTTTTAACGAAAGTCCATGAAACTTTTTGACTTTTTCTGATTTATTGAATTTTATAATTTTTTAATGCTTTTGATAATATAAAATTAATAGAAAAAATTTAAAAATCGGTTTTACCTAGAAGCGCCGCTGGGTCAATTTTGTCCCACTCTGGTATTTGCCACAATAATTCGATGAAGAGTCCTTTTTTGGAGGAGATACGAAAGTGGAGAGGTGAGGAGAGTTTATGTGACTCGTGACAATGCAGAAATGTAAATATATTGTACTGGTTTTTGCCTGTGACTTCACCCGTGAGAAATTAAGTTTATCATAGAAAGAACTAATTTCTTGACACTTATCGTTGCTTTTTGATCAAATAACTGAATATTATTCTAAATTATAGCCTATATTATGTTATTCTGAAGCATTAACAATAAAACTGCAAAGTTTTATTAAGATCGGCTTAGTATTTTTTGCGTAAAAGAGTGAAAAAACATCTATCGATCTAACCATGAATCCATACTCACTTAGTTCAAGTTCCAGGCATATATCCACCCATTCATCCTTCCTATCCATTCATCAGTCCATCCATCCTTCAATTCATCAATATTTATTAACTTTTACATTTATAATATTAGTAGGAAGGTGGCTTCTAGACATAAGCCAGTTTATACATTGTATGATTTGATACATTTTTAAAATGTGTGACTTATAAAATTTTGAAGATTAAACGTACATACTTTTCATTGTTATTGGTAAAAACTTCATTGTTTGTGTACAGATAACAGAAAAATAACCATACCTATAGAAATTCCTAAACACATAGTACACCAGAGAGACAAAAAGCCATAAAAAAAAAACTTTGTGCAAAATGTGCACTATTATTTGTAAGACATTTATTTTTTCTTTAAAAATAATAATGACTAGTTAAAGTAGCAATTTCATTATTTTAATACAGTATAACACCACATAATATGTGACTATTTTTAAATGAAACCAAAAATATCTGACTTTTAATAATTCAAAATTAAAATTGAATACATTTATATTTTTAAAGAAATAAGTACATATTGATTTAACTACATAGAAAAACCTTTTTTTAAGGATACTACAAATAGTTTTAACCATAATATTCATGCCTGAAACTAAAAAAATGTTACAAAATACATGCTGGGACAAAATTGACCCAGCGGCGCTTTTAGGGGGGTCGTAATCTTCGGCACTTCTAGTGTTAACATATCCTTCGCTGAACGCGTGGGTACTAAAATGCACTACTTGCGTCGAATTTGCATCTTTACTGCAGTTTCTGAAAAGTTTATTGGACGTTTCTTAACTGCTTGTAATATGAATCTGTAGACGGTTGAAATAATAAATATTTACCGAGACTTAAAAAAGATCCGAATATTTAAAGGGAAAAAAGTATTAAGACATAAAAAGTTTTTCTGGAAGTTTCGAATTCTCGCTAAACGATGACAAACAAAGAGGCATTTTGCTCAATTTGCTAATGTTTGTGATAACAAAGGAGGTAATTAAGTTGAAGATTTTCCAGTAACTCAAAATCTTGCAAATACCTCAGAACCAATGATGTTTTCATAGAAATCGAATTGCTTAATTTAAGGAGTCAACCCTTATCACTTTAAGGATTATAAGAAAACGTCGCGCCGCGTGTCGTCGCATTGTATTGATGAAAGCTTTATTAGGCAGAGTAAATGTAAAGGAATTCTCGAAACTTTATTTATACTAATTCTATAGCTTTCAGTTTGAACATTAGTTAGATACCAATAACAGATTTAACTACTCTTTACTTCAGTATCGTTTCATAAATGTTCCATGAAATTATAGCGGAAGTTTTAATCTAAATACTGAAATTGAAAAAATAACTTGAAAATAATATTTACTACATACAATACGAGCCCTAATGTTTATATCTTGGTCATATTACTAACTTTTATTGTTATAAAATAAATGAAAGAAATTGTATTGATTGGTCTTGTTGTAAAGGCACGTGCACACCCCAAGATTCACAATATTTAGGCTAGAGGTCAAAAAGATACACAAACTCAGACACTCGAGAAACATTTGCAATAAAGTTGCTGGGTAAATTTGCGAGCCGGGTAAAAAAACACTGGACCGGTGGAATTGGACCGAAAAGCGTAACTTATGTCGACCGGATGGCAAATATTGCGGCCTTGGGAGGTCGTTGCCGCCCGAGAATGTCAGGGAATGATAAAAAGTGATTGAGCGATAAAAAAGATGGCCATCGATTTTTACTACTTTGTCGGTTAAGTTATAAAATTTATTCCGCAAGTTGAAAATATAAAAATGTTTGCTATTCGGTAATCAATTTTTGTATACTGATTAAAATTTATCCAGTTTATTCTAATAGATGGGTGATGATTATGATGAATACCTTTCTATATTTAGTAAATAAAGGAAATATCAATTATACAAAAAAAAACGTCATGGTTAAATTCTTAAAAATTATACTAGAGCAGACCTAATGACCCTATATGTATAAATAAACCCAACTAAGTAGGTATTTTATTAGTAATCATAAACGTAAACATTTTATAATTTTTGTTGTTCTAAAGCTTTTCCCTACTTACTCTGACATCGATTTTTCAATAATTTTGTACAATAAAGCTTTCAAACATGGGGGTTTCCTATCATCCAAGCATACTTATTTGCTGTTGAACTTTTCATTGTAATCATTAATGTAAACAGAACATTGTAAATCCAGGACTTTAAAAAAAAAGTTATGGTTATTATGAGACTTCCCTCTGTCAAGCCTGCGGGCTTTAAGATCCTTTGCTAGAAAGCTTTACAAATAGTAAGACGGAATTAATATTGGTAGTTCAGGGATAAAACGATTACGTATTACACGTATACACATAATTATTTCATTATTAATTTGCTCTAATAGTCTAAAGGATTTCAAAGTTGATACACTTTAGCTTCCTATCTCTGTACCTCTAGTACGAAAAACTTTCGAGTTCGTTTCGTTGCGTATTCAAAGTGTCATCGAAAAATTTTGTATGAAAAATTAAACAGCGCCCCCTATATTATAGCCGCCCTAGGGGGCGCTGTTTAATTTTTCATACAAAATTTTTCGATGACACATTGAATACGCAACGAAACGAACTCGAAAGTTTTTCCTACTAGAGGTACTGATTCGAGGAAACCAAATTCATTAATTTACTAAGAATGTTGAATCAATCTCGTAAATTATTTTCTCTGAAGCTTTCTCTAATTGAGTTTATGTGCCTAAGTTCATTCTAAAACATTAATTTTATTGTTATTTCCGTTAAGCTCAATTTCTACTGAACGATAAAAATTACAATTATGAAAATGATACTGAAAAGTCTGTATTCAATTTAGACCAATTTGGCACTTATGAAAAAAAAGGTACCCAAAAGGAACTCTTTACATGTCTCCTTATCTTTTGTTCGGTAGTGAAGCGCTTCGAGACAAACATTTATGGCAAGTGACGAGAAGAAACTCCGGAATAAACTCAGATCCTACTATGATTTTCTACTGTCTATGTTAGTTATTAATTTTCTAGGCTGGATAAAACACTTTTTAAAGATCTTACCAGCTTGTACATTTTGAAGGGTGGGTGGTGGGGATGTCTTGAAGTGACGAAGGAGGGTGTGTGAGCGAATGTGCTTAGGGACCGATCGTANAAAAGGGTGGTTTCATGCGAATTTGAAGAAAATATTTCACCCCCAAGGGTGGAAAATTGGGGATGAACTTTTTTATACGCAATATCTCCGCCGATTATGAACCAATTTGAACGATTATTTTTTTGTTGAATAGGTATTATCAAAAGGGTGGTCTCATGCGAATTTGAAGAAAAACTGGTCATGGTAGGTACAACTCCTTAATGCTTAGGAGTTGTAGGAGAATTCTTTAAATATTATAAGTACAAATAGACCAACAGCTGTATTCTTTCATGTTTTTAAGGTGGGCTGACCGTTTAAGGTCTTTTTAGGTTTCCTATATGGTAACCTGTATTTTGTAGAGAATATTATTTTACACTAGACATGAAGAATATGGTCTCAATGTACTGCCTACCTTCAGTGGTAACATCAAGGTAATAATTAGTTAACTAAAAAGCAATAAATAAGTAAAATTTTATAAAAAAAAATAAAACCGACTCCAAAAAACCTACACGAAAAAGTAGAAAAATAATTACTAATTACTACTTATTTATTAGGACGAATTATTAATATTTGTGTAGGTATACCATGATTGATACTTTTGAGGTTTTTTGGAGTCGGTTTTTTTTATCTTATACGTACAAACATAAGATTTTAAACAAATGCCCGCGGCTTCACCCGCGTGAAATTTAGTTTGTCACAGATCGTCATAAATTATAGCCTATATGTTATTTGGCTTATAAACATTAATACTGTAAAGTTTCGTCAAAATCCGTTCAGTAGATTTTGCGTGAAAGAGTAACAAACATGATATCCAGACATCCAAACTTTCGCATTTATAATATTAGTAGGAAATATTAGTAGGATAGGATAGCCAAAAATATATACTTTTGAAAATTTGCGACAAACGCGGGTAAATCGTATGTAAGTTCGTTATTATTTATTTATTTATTTATATACTTAACTAGTTGATGAATGGTTTTATACTTATACCATTTAATATGAGGTGNCGATCGTAGGGCCTTTTATACACATATTGGCTATTTCAAATCCGTCTAACCCTACCTGCGGGCCGGGCCTAGGTCATATGTATCAGCCTTCATAAGTACGGATAGCAACAAAGTAAGCAGTGGGAACCCTTTTTCATGAGCGCACTGCAGTTATTTTTGGGGAAATTCGATGAAATATTTTTTCCCTATTATGTTACCTAACAGTGACCTTACGTGTGTTTTACCATAATGTAAATGTATTAATCAAATCAACAACAACCAGAAATTTCCGGAAACATTAATGTATTATGTGTCGCCGCGATGCGCAAACAGAAGACGTACTTTAAGTGAATACGAAGAAATCGTATCAGATCATACAGAAAATTGAAGAAAAAATGACCTTCATTCCAGTTTTTGGAATTTTCTTTCATGTATTTTCAATTGGTTTTGAAGAATTTACTCTTACGTGGTAGGTAATTTAATTTATTTCCCAATAAGTCTGTAAAGACATGTGTACGTTCAAATGGATAAATAAACATACAAATAAATGTTTTATTTAACGTATAAAGTAACATCTAACAATAAAAATCACAACCAGTGTCAGACTATAGTCTATAGTACCTACACCGACTACAGATTTGCTACTCAATTGTTACTATTTTTATCTTATACGTACAAACATAAGATTATAAACAAATGCCCGCGGCTTCACCCGCGTGAAATTTAGTTTGTCACAGATCGTCATAAATTATAGCCTATATATTATTTTGGGTTATAAACATTAATACTGTAAAGTTTCGTCAAAATCCGTTCAGTAGATTTTGCGTGAAAGAGTAACAAACATCCAGATATCCAGACATCCAAACTTTCGCATTTATAATATTAGTAGGAAATATTAGTAGGATAGGATAGCGAAAAATATATATTTTTGAAAATTTGCGACAAACGCGGGTAAATCGTATTAAGTATAGCCACATAGCGAACCATTATACATTAAATGTATGTAGGTACTCTTGTGTCATCGTGTATTATCTAGAGTCAGGTATAACTAGTTGATGAATGGTTTTATACATATACCATTTATTATGAGGTGATGTAGGAACAGTGTTAATTGCAATCATGACAATAGTTAGGTACACATGCGAGTAATCTGCACGCTATGTGGTGAAATTCTAGTGCATACCATTATTATTTTATTCTAAATACACGTTGTAAAAAAGGTCGTACAATATTACATCTTATTAAGCCAACCGTACACTGTACACTTGGTTGTTAAGTTAGATGTATTTTTAAATCTACTCATATTATAGGTACGTGCAATACTGTAAACGGCAATTAAATTATTTGATACTTTAATTTTAGAATACACACATAATAATATGACATGTTAAAATAATGGTCTCTTCATGATTTATGTAGTAAAGCGTGAGCTTTTAGAACTTGTCAAGTTTTTTTAGTTAATGGAGTGTAGGTAGCTCTATTTTTTGGGTATTTTACTTGCGTAGAAACCTCTGAATTAGATTAAAATAAAATATTGCAATTGGTAAATTGTAAAATATGTATGGACAAACGATCCAGCTAGGTAGGTCCAATTTCGAGAAGGAGGTCAATCGTCGAATCCAACTCGGCTGGGCAGCGTTCAGGAAACTACGTAACATCTTTTCGTCCAAAATACCCCAATGCCTGAAGACGAAAGTCTACAATCAATGTGTGTTACCAGTGATAACTTATGGCTCGGAAAAGTGGCCTCTCACTATAGGCCTTATACAGAAGCTCAAAGTTGCACAGCGTGCTATGGAGAGGGCTATGCTTGGTGTTTCTTTGCGAGATCGAATCAGAAATGAGGAAATCCGTAAACGAACTAAAGTCGCTGACATAGCCCGACGGATTAGCAAGCTGAAGTGGCAATGGGCAGGGCACATAGTGCGCAGAACTGACGGCCGATGGGGCAGCAAGGTTCTGGAATGGAGGCCGCGTACCGGAAGGCGCAGCGTGGGACGTCCACCTACAAGGTGGACCGACGACATCGTGAAGGTAGCAGGGAAGCGCTGGATGCAGGCCGCTACCAATCGATCAATGTGGAAAGCATTAGGGGAGGCCTATGTTCAGCAGTGGACGTCCTATGGCTGACATGATGATGATGATGATGANTGAAGTGGCAATGGGCAGGGCACATAGTGCGCAGAACTGACGGCCGATGGGGCAGCAAGGTTCTGGAATGGAGGCCGCGTACCGGAAGGCGCAGCGTGGGACGTCCACCTACAAGGTGGACCGACGACATCGTGAAGGTAGCAGGGAAGCGCTGGATGCAGGCCGCTACCAATAGATCAATGTGGAAAGCATTAGGGGAGGCCTATGTTCAGCAGTGGACGTCCTATGGCTGACATGATGATGATGATGATGATGATGAAAATATGTAATTGGTCAAAGTAGGTACTATTATTTATAACTTTATTGTGTCATCATTACATTATTGTCCTCTATTATTAGGTACTTTAGAAATGGAATGGATGAATCTCAATTGAAATTCTAACAAATGAAACGATCAAGACTTGTAAGTCCAAGTTTACAGGCTTGCTTACTGTTCGCTAAAATTTATCACTCTATACTCGTACATGAAAATTGCCCTGTGAGGCTTACATGTGACCGTAATTAGGGCAGGGCGTTTTCAATGACACTATTCCACGACCATATCTACTTATCAGTTGGTCAGCTGACTTCTAACTTAACAAATCACACTGATACAGGCGTTCGTTAGGTGCGGGCGCTGTATTGGATAATTCAGATACCTACCTTATTAATTCTTTTTAAGTGTTCGGTGTTATGTAATTCTTTGATTCTACTTAGGTATATTTTTTTTTCATAGCTGTTTTGTAATAAATGTAATATGAAATCTTCGAGAGAATTCTTAAAAAAATATTTTAATTTTCAGAGATCTAAACTCGCGTGGTGTAAAATTTAGATCCACTTGGGGACTTTTTACTTGTTCAATTTATAAATATTTATATTTTGAATTTTTAAACTTTTTAGAGAACCGTTATCTACAACCGTTTGAATGTAAATAGTGTGTCCCCATTTCTCCATTCGTTTTCATACATGAACAACTTAACCCTAGTGCTTACACCCGTTCCGATTACATGACATTAGGTCGGGGTGCCCTAAAATCTGACGCCGAATACTCAAGATTTTTGGGGCGGTGTCAGATAAAAGCTGTCGTTAATCAATGTCGCGTATGACCGACTATTGGACTCGCATAATGTTCAGGGAATCTCGGTAATGTAGTAGTTTTTCTTTCGAGGCAAATAACTAAACGATTTTAAGTAAGCGTATGTGCATTTTTTTATTTAGGTATCAGACTCCAAAGTAATTGAGGGTAGGTAACTTTGTTATCTTTAAGTTTGAGTATTATGTTATAATAAGCATTTTTTCTTGTTTTAATGCCAAATAGTTCTTTCTGATTGTTTGAAGTATTATGTTACACTTGACAACCTTGGTTTAGTGGTAACAATTGGCAGCTGTAGATCGAAGCTACCTTATTTTTAAGGCATCCCAACTAATATTATAAATGCGAAAGTAACTCTGTCTGTCTGTCTGTCTGTCTGTCTGTCTGTCTGTCTGTTACGCTTTCCCGCTTAAACCTCGCAACCGATTTTGATGAAATTTGGCATAGAGATAGTTTGAGTCCCGGGAAAGAACATAGGATAGTTTTATCCCGGTTTTTGAAACAGGGACGCGCGCGATAAAGTTTTTCTGTGACAGACAAAATTCCACGCGGGCGAAGCCGCGGGCGGAAAGCTAGTAAGTACATAAATCCGTTAATTAGTCACGTAGGTGTAAAAATTTGGTTAATATTGTGTTTTCTTTGTTGTAGGGCTAGATTATAAGGTGGTATGGTGGAACAATTTATTTAAAACCTAACAATTCTAACTCTATAGCGTGTACTCGTACAACTACATACATCAAACTTTACTTACCACACCATGCCCTATGATATTCTATTGTTACTTTACAATGTATTAAATACGGAT